ACTGTATCAATATTACCTCTGAGAGGAAATTTACCCTGTAGAGTTCTGCGATTTTCGAAGTGTTATGTTCGCGTTTTCTACGTATAAGATAAATGTATCAATAATATTTTTTGAGAGGAAATTTACCCTGTAGGTTTTTGTTACCGCCAAGATATTGAGAAACATAAATTCTGTATCAGTGATATTCTTTGGGGGGAAATTTACCCCGTAAAGTCTTGCTATCTAAAAGATGGGTGTTTTTGCTTTGAAATACCGTGTATAAACTGCATCAATGTCATTTTTGAGAGAAAAATTACTCTGTTGATTGTTGCCATCTTCACGATGTTTGCGATTCATAAATACTGTATTAGTGATTTTCTTTGGGGGAAATTTACCCCGTCAAGTCTTGGTATCGTCAAGATGGCTGCTTTTGCTTTTAAACACTCTATATAAACTAAATGTCATTTTTGAGAAGAAATTTACCCTGTAGAGTTCTGCAATTTCCAAAGTGTAATGTTGGCTTTTATAAGAGTAGTGAATACTGTATCAGCTAGTGATATTCTTTGGGGGGAAATTTACCCCGTAAAATCTTGCTATCTATAAGATTGGAGTTTTGCTTAGAAATACTGTGTATAAACTGTTTCAATATCATTTTTGAAAAAAAAATTACTCTGTAGATAGTTGCCATCTTCATGATGTTTGCGAATCATAGATACTGTATTAGTGATTTTCTTTGGGGGGTAAATTTACCCCGTAAAGTTTTGCTATCATCAAGATGGTTGCTTTTGCTTTCAAACAATGTATATAAACTGAATCAATGTCATATTTTTGAGAGGAAATTTACCCTGTAGATTTCTGCGATTTTCAAAGTGTAATGTTCGCTTTTTATAAGAGTAGTGAATACTGTATCAGTGATATTCTTTGGGGGGGGGGGGGGGAATTTACCCCGTAAAGTCTTGCTATCTAAAAGATGGTTGCTTTTGTTTTGAATTACTGTAGGTACACTGTTTCAATGTCATTTTTGAGAGGAAATTTACCCTGTAGGTTTTTGCTATCTTTAAGTTGTGAATCAATGATTTTTTTTCGGGGGAAATTTACCCTGTAAAGTCTTGCTAAATTGTCATTAGTTCCTCCAAATATTTTCCTTTTCATTTTATGTGTGACATTAGATCGTTTTTCCATTAGAAAAATTTTTCACAATCTTATTAATAAATATCTTATAAAACTGTGTTTTTTGTTAGATTTTGTCAATACCTGAGGGCAAAATGCCTAAAACGGAAAAAAAGATTTTCTGTTTTGATTTTGGAATGCGTTTATTCTTATTTCGCTTTCACGTACATATGGTGTTTACATCTATCACCTTTTTCGATACTGAAATACATGCTCTGGGTACTATCAATTTTTAAACCGAGACAGGCTTTTGACAGACAAGTTGAAGTTACTTGTTCAAAGTCAGAATTTCGTAGATTCTACGGTCATTATAATGGCCTTGTTAGCAAATATATCCTCTTATTGGGTAGTGCTTTTGTTGTAAGGCCTTTGTTTTTATACTAAATTTGACTACGGAATGTTTTATCTGATCATTACATAGGTCCCATGGTGGGTGTGATCGTTCAAAAGGGGATGCTTTCTCCTCGTAGGCACCTGATACCATATCTGGAATTTCCGGGGTCTGTGTTTTACGGCTCTGTTCACAGTTTTCTATTGTTTGTAGACTTTATAGATCGATCATTGTTCGTTATTTTCATCTTTTACATTAAAATTCCAAGAACATTTTAACAGCTTTGAAAAAAGTATGGGTCAATGACAAAATCATTAATAAATAATAAGCATAAGAGCATTCACTTTCAACCGAGTAGCACAAAGTATTTCAGTTACCTGAAAAGCACAAAATTTCCAAGTCACCTGAGCGTCTCGGATATGGTTTGAAAATTAACTCGGTATGAGGATGTCTTTTTGTAAGATGACACAGCTAGAGTCATGTTTCTTGAGTGTAAATAATTGTCGTTTCCCTGCCCAAAAATTTACCATGGGCATGAAAAACATGAAGCCTATCATATAAAGGTGCTTCAATACACATTTGACTGCCATTATTAAACTTAAATTATTATCTAGAAACTTTAAATAGTTTTCATTTTTATATAAAACTTTGAATCTTTTTTGATTCCCAATCTTGTCTCAAGTAGCCACGGTTTGAAAATCTTTGAATCTTAATTATAAGTATACTTTAGCTATGAAGACGGTTTAAAGGTAATCTTTACTATAAGCAACCTTTCACTTTTCTTGATGAAAGGTTTCTGAGAGTGCTTCTTATCCGTTTTAATAATATATTTTTGGAAGGAGAACATGGTGAATCTTTGAACAACTCTGAATTTTCTTAAGTACGCTTAAACCATTCAAGAAAATCGTCGAAAAATGCAGAGTAGAAAAAAAAGAAGAGGGCAAAATCAAAGTCATAGCAGATGTTTTAAGTTTTTAAAATGATAACATATATCAAAGTCAAAGCAGTAAAAGCTTGGTTTGTTTGTTTTTTCATGTATCTCTTTATCACTTTAACTTTTGCTCCGATTTCAATGAAGTGATTTCAACGAACGTTTTTGCCAGGGTTATTAAATCTTTGAATTTCTTTAAAAACGCTTATCCTCCTAAATTTTTGTTCTGAGTTTTATAAAACATTTTGTAGCACACATTGAGATACATAATATGTATTCTTTGATTGGTGTTATTTCAAAGTTTGGTGTTGCTATGGTACAGTGTAAGTTAAAAAAAAATCTGTAAAAACAACCTTGGATTACGAGACTGTAGCTCTACTGGTTGTATTTATAAAGGAAGATAAAAGTAGCACTTGGACTTGAAACTTTGCAACAGCAATAAACAGAATAATGATCCTTGGTTTAGTCTCTTTTGTGGCAAGATTTATTATAATCAGACTAAAACTGTAGGAGGAGTAGCCTTTTAAAACAATTTTACAGAAATTTTGATTTAAGTTACCATGGCAACATCATTCAACAAAATCAAAAAACAATAACACCAATTATGTATCTCTGTAGTCTACTTGTATGCCACATTATACTGAAATCAGACAAAAAGTGTAGGAGGAGTAGCGTTTTGAAAGTATTTCAAGAAAATTTCTATTTTTAGTAACCATGGCAACACTGTTCATCGAAATCCGAAACTGGTACAGAGAATTATGTATCTCAGTGTAGTCTACTTGTGTGCTAATTAGTATTACTAAAATCAGACCAGAACTGTAGGGGTAGCATTTTGAAGGTATTTCAAGGAAATTTCTATTTTTAGTAACCATGGCAACAATGTTCATCGAAATCAGAAAATCAATATAAAGAATTATGTATCTTAGTGTAGTCTACTTGTTTGCCAAGTTATACTGAAATCAGACCAAAACTGTAGGAGGAGTAGCATTTTGAAAGTATTTCACAGAAATTTCTATTTTTAGTAACCATACAATGTAGCAACATCGTTCATCGAAATCAAAAACCGATACACAGAATTATGTATCTTAGTATAGTCTACTTGTGTGCCAAGTTATATTGAAATCAGATCAAAACTGTAGGAGGAGTAGCATTTTGAAAGTATTTCACAGAAATTTCTATTTTTAGTAACCATGGCAACACCGTTCATCGAAATCAAAAACCGATATTATATAAATAGTGCACGTTTTTGAGGGTAACAGTTGAAATTGACACCCCAAGGAAAACCATTGTCAACCGACGCGTCAGCGGAGGTTGACAATGGTTTTCCGAGGGGTGTCAATTTCAACTGTTACCCTCAAAAACGTGTACTATTTATTTTATTATACTGAATGTCTTATTGATTTCGGATGTCAAAAGAAAAATTCGGAGATAGTTGAGTTCACGCTTAGAAGGCTTTCAGACTCCCCGCTTCTATTTTTCTCAATAAGAAAGCTTCGGAAAAGATTTACCAACCTTTTTATTGTTTGTTCGCTACTCAAAAAGTCCTTTATCGTCTAAAGTTTGCATTCGCAAGGATGTTTCGTCTGTCGTTTGTTGTTTTCAAGTAAGCTACATCGGACGCAAGCTTTTATTGACGTCGTTTATTCGGCTTCTTTCAAACGCACAACTGACGCTTTGAGAATTCTACGGTGAACCGTACGCGCATGATTTGAACGCATGTGATATTTTCGTAATGTTACCCGTTGTTAAGTGTGTTGCTAACGCTGAGGGTAACATTACGGATTGTTAAATGCGTGTAAACCAATCAGATATTAGTATTTAACATGAAAGTATAATAAACAGAAATATGTATCTTAGTATAGTCTACTTGTGTGCCAAGTTATATTGAAATCAGATCAAAACTGTAGGAGGAGTAGCATTTTGAATGTTATTCACAGAAATTTCTATTTTTAGTAACCATGGCAACACCGTTCATCGAAATCAAAAAACGATACACAGAATTATGTATCTTAGTGTAGTCTACTTGTGTGCCAAGTTATATTGAAATCAGATCAAAACTGTAGGAGGAGTAGCATTTTGAAAGTATTTCACAGAAATTTCTATTTTAAGTAACCATGGCAACACCGTTCATCAAAATCAAAAACCGATACACAGAATTATGTATCTTAGTATAGTCTACTTGTGTGCCAAGTTATATTGAAATCAGACCAAAACTGTAGGAGGAGTAGCATTTTGAATGTTTTTCACAGAAATTTCTATTTTTAGTAACCATGGCAATACCGTTCATCGAAATCAAAAACCGATACACAGAATTATGTATCTTAGTGTAGTCTACTTGTGTGCCAAGTTATACTGAAATCAGACCAAAACTGTAGGAGGAGTAGCATTTTGAAAAATTGTTTACAGACAGACAGACAGACAGACAGACAGACGGACGGACGACGGACACCTTACTATCGCATAAGCTCTTCTGGTCTCTGACCAGTAGAGCTAAAAACGGACAACAAAAGGCAATAAGAGATAGCAGCAAGTCACTTAATCATCAAATGATCAAAACAATTTTTGCAATGCCATCTTTTCATAGTTTACCTGTTCCTCACTTGTGACCATCCCCTTGTTCTCATCACTTTGCATGTATTCCTTAACAGCAAAACTACAATTTGGCCACACTTGAGCGATGCTGTTGAAGTTTTGGAATAACACACTGGACTTTTCATAAGCCATATGGATTGCTACTATCCAGCATACTGCAGAAGTAGGTTCTTGTTCATTTAACAGCAAATGACATCCAATTCTCAGATCGCCGCAAACAAGCTTAAAATTCAATTAAATGTTTATCATCAAATTTAGCCACGGAAACTAATAAATGTATAATTAGAGGCCCATGGACCACAACGTTCACCTGAGTCACCATCGCTTTGTTATTCATCAACATATTATTCCCATATATTCTTATATTTAAAAAAATGGATTGTCTATTGTGACCGCACCCTTTCCCCGGGGGACATGGTTTGAGCAAACTTGAATCTACACTACCTTACATATCAATATGCTAATTATAAACATGCCTTAGCTGTTCTTAAGAAAGAAATTAAAGACTTTTCCTGGAGGCGTAGACCCTAACTTGAACAAATTTAAATCCCTTTAACCAAAGGATGCTTTCTGGCAATTTTGATTACAATTGCCCTTGTGTTTCTAGAGAGAAAGATGAAAATGTAAAACAGTTTTCGTTATTAACAACAACGACAGACAAAAGACAAAATTTGATAAGAAAAGCTCATTTTGCCATAGACTCGGGTGAGATAAAAGTTAAAATAATTCAAAAAGAAGAATAAATAAATGTCTTCAGTTTTGTTCTTAAGCTTACATTTCTAAACAGTGCTGAACAAGAAAAGGAGCTTTACTTTAAAGTTTTGAAGCAGGATGTCATATATTTGTGTTTTGAAAACACACATGTATTTTTCGAAATATTTTTCAAGTTTTGGTCAATCATGTAAAATAGTTTGATAGATGATGTAACTAACCTGCAGTTCAGTGTCTGAACACGGCGGATAGACCATGTGGATGAAATCATGTATGTAAGCGGTTAGGAAGTCATCTACTTGAACCTGCTGCAGGTAAGTTTCAAGAATCTTTCCAAGGGGTAGGTTCTCGACAATTTTTGAGATCGTAAAAACTGGATTACTAGAATCTAAAATATATTAAAGACACAATAGTGCTAGAATGATCTAATTTTTACATATCAAAATATCTTTTTTCTCGTTTGCAGTATTTTTTTCTGAAAAAAGAAACCATTATATTAGACTATATTATGGGTTTGGCAACAAATTGACTTGCTCACCCGTTCCATCAGATGTCATCGATGATTCTGTTTGAACTGTGTTTTGAACAAGATTGAAAACTATCCATGAAAATGGCATCTTTGCAGAAAACATGTGACCATCGAATCCTGTTCCGAGAACATTATAATCTGACATTTGCTTTAAGCCTTGGGGAGAGATAAACATAGAGTACTTGATTCCTGTTGCATTTGGAGCGTTCAAAATTCCTAACCACAGCCTTTGTTTCCATGCTGACTGTGTTTCTTCTAGTATATCCAGGTTTCTGTTCGTGTCGACCTTTGAAATTATTCCAGCCAGCAAAGGTGACAGCTTATCCACAACACACTGTGTCATTGCTTTCCTGTATGTTATGATACATAATTACAGAATACTGCCTTGAAGGATACCAAATCCAAATAACAATCGAAATTATATAACGCTGTTTTCCCATATTTGAGGAAAGCTCTCCTTTTTCTATTCCTCATTTTAGCAGTTATACTTTAGCCAATTTCATAAGTGTCAAGAAAATAATTTTTCACCTTGCACAATGAATTGAATGAAACGTTACGGAAAATAACTTATAATTAATAGTTACTATCTTCGAATTAAACGATAGTTAATATTTTCGGCTAAATGTTTTTCATATATATTCACCTGAAGGTTCCAACTCTGTTGATGTGATCTCTGCTGGTTGCTTCAGAAGTGAGCCATATGTTAGCAGAGTCCCCAGTTACTTCATTCTCTTTTTCTTTCATTAGTTTTGAGAGATGTAAACAAATACCCATCATGAATGAAGCATCTAAATCAAAAATAGTCATTGAAAACGATGAACACATAAAATTAATGTAAAAAATAGCCTAGATTTTCTCTAAAGAATTATCTGATTTCTTTTTACCATGCTACTAAAATAAGAACGATAAATTAAGATTTTACTGAAGGCAACACAAGCAGCAAAAATAATGTGACATTTTGAACTACAAGTGACCCTAAGAAAATGTATATATGACAGTCTGATGTAATTTAATCAACATATATATCCATTATCCGTTTTATTGAAGGAAATTGACATTCATAAATACTAAATATTTTATTTTAGACGAGGGTATAAGGAAAATTTGATACATCAAAGAAGGTTGATTGATTGATTGATTGTATGTTGTTTTACGTCCCATTCGAGAATTTTTCACTCATATAGAGACGTCACCATATACCGGTGAAGGGCTTCAAATTTTGACCTTTACTCGGCACTCAGGGCCATTGAGCAGTGAGGGATCTTTATCGTGCCAACGCCTGCCGTGACACGGGGCCTCGGTTTTTAAGGTCTCATCCGAAGGACCTGCAACTTTCACTTCAAAGTGCCGAGCGCATGGCGAAGGAACAGTTGCTACCCATTTTTTATCGACTTAGGTCAGTCGCAGCCGAGATTCGAACTCACGACCTCCCGATCACGAAGCGAGCGCTCTACCGACTGAGCTACCGTGAACGGTCATCAAAGAAGGTTATTATGCTCAATTCTCCACAATAATTATTTCTGGGTCTCATTTAAATCGTTCAATATTGGTATCCAAACTATTAAATTTCAATTTATCAGATCAAATGCAACAAAATCTCGTCTTGTATATACCTATTTTAAGAGATTAGAGACAAAAAAATTACCTCTTTCGCCAGTGTCATGCAAAAGCTTTATCAGTAGTTTCACACGATGCGTTGCTCTTTCCGGGTCATCTGGATCCTTAACCATTGCCAGAGACGAATGAACACTCATTTTAACAAGTGCTGGGAAATTGAAGTTTCTGTGAAAAGCAGCTTGCTTTGTATGGTCATTTAAATCCTCTTCATTTTCTCTTTCTCTGAATTCTATTTCAGATGCCTCCTCTTGTTCAGGGGTACTACTTTCTTTAACTGAATAAATCACGGGTTTTGCCTTTGTCGCACTTTCTAGTAGAGTTCCTATGCTCTTTCCTACCATTTCAGTTATTCTTGGGATGTCATTATCTGGACTTTTTATGTCATCTATATGCACAGTTTTCCAAACCCCACACTATAAAATTTAATTTAGTCTATAAATATTATCCCACTATACAGGTTTTGAAATACTTTGTGATTTTTCTTGAAAATTTACAGCAATCTATTCATTACAAGTTAGTTTGATATACATATAATTAGATATATCAATGGTATTAAATCAATTACCTGAAACCCTGCAAAATGACCAGACGACATTCTTGGCAAATGAATTATGAACACGATATGTGTTCGTTCCTTCCTAGCATTTGACAGCTGTTGAAGTTCATCCAAAACACAATACCGTGCACAAGCAATAAGATTCGCATTTTCAATACCATTATCACATTGGACGATCAGAAATAGTTTATCCTGGAGATTTTTCTCAAAATTGTGCCTAAGGTAATGCAAAAAATGACAAATATAATTAACAACTTTCGGTGATATATTTGTAATTTTAAAGCTTTTGAGTGATTAGAATGAATAAAAATACATATTAATTCTATTATCAAAACCAGTCAATATAAAAATAAACAAATAAGAAGCTTTGTTATTTTCTGTGCCTTTAATAACATACTTGCTACATGTAAATGCCAAAATTGTGACGTAAAATGTTTCAGAATTTTTTACTTCATCTAAATGTTCCTAAAAGGTAAAAATCATGAGGATGGTATGGAGGCTTTGTTATATGTGGTACAAACTTAATATATTTAATACTCTGCCGCAATAAAGTAATTTTGCAGTATATCCTATTTATATTGTCTGAAAAATTATGTGTAAGTATAAATGAGCTATTTTTCTTTTAGAAAGTTTCTCAAGTTTAGAGTCAATTTCATCAGGTCAATTTACATTACAACAACAGGTATTTTGACATTTTTTTACAAAGAGAATGCCCCCCTTTACATCAAAAATTTAGTACCAATACATATCTTTAATATCAATGTAAAAACAAGAGACCAAATGATGAAAACACTCACTTGAGTCGCCTTTTTCTTCTTTGTAATATATGAATGTTAGATTAAAAAAAATCCCTTACCGTTGCTAAGAAATTAAATTTTAAGACAATACTTTAACAATACCAATTAGAAGTACAAAATGGATCGAGGTCTACTATGCACTTTTCAGATAATTTTACTTTACAGTTGCATCATTTACTATGATTTGAACAAAACCGTATCTACATTTCATGAAAATACCCACAAATTAGTATAATTGATTGAAGTGCATGTGCTCTTGTTTAGACAATTTTTTAAAGATTTTTCCTATTTTAATATAAATTCTGGCCCTATTTTAAGACTTGATCCTACTCAAAAGGATTCTTCAAAAATTTTCTCTCAACCACATAATTATAATTCAACGATTACAACTGAAAAAAAAAATCAACAAAGAGAGGAGCTTTAAAGCTGAGTGGTACATGTGCTCACCAGCAGAACAGAGGTCTAATGTACAGGTAGTTCTTTTTTTTAAAAGTATTTGAAGCTTAAAGAAGTTTGGACGTAAGGCATTTTAAGTTCAGCATAATGGCGCAGCTATAGTCAATATTTAAACTACCATTAAGGGAGCCACCTGGGGGTTTTATTGTGTGAAAACTACAATCGAAAAACATCTTAAAATTTATATTATATACAAGTGTCATTGAATTTAGTGTACATTCCAAGTTTAGGGAAAAGGTATCGTCTCGGTATTTTTAGGGACCGTCTCAAAATACATGTACGTTTCCTATAGGATTATACGAGAAAGTCTAGTTTTTCGCATTTCAAAGCAATTTTTACAAATACTAGAAAAGACATTTTGCTCAAATTATAATATATGATGAATAATACCATATTGTACATTGTATATGAAAAACACAAAAAATTCTATCGTTTGGTTTCCAGAGGGGATATCTTAAAATAAAAATTCACGCAAATTTCCTGTTTTATGGAGTACTACAGAATAGGACACATATTAATAAATACAAGACAAATATTCAGAAAATAACTGCAATATTTTCAAATTCCTGTGTTGAAAATTTCAAGAGCATACAGTTTATACCTTTTCTTTTATAACATTTTTTATGACTCCCTCTTAAGGAACTTCAGTTTATTGTAACGTCACAAATATATACTATTACGTCTTCCTTTCAGTATCGTTGAAAAATCAGATCTTTAAATTGATAATTAGATGTTTTATCCTGTGATTTCTTAATTTTGTTAAATTTGATAAACTATATGAATTGATTGCCTTAAAAGAATAAATAAACTTGACTTTACTATGCTGAGCGAAGTAGTGCGCAAAGCAAACCCCAGTCGGCCCCCTTAAGTCCTGTTTAAGAAGCTAGATTAACCTTAATAGTAGTTTGATTTGATTTTAGGCTGTATTAAGAAAACCTGTCGCTTTATATGCATACATGCATGAAGAGGACTGAGTCAGTAAGTTAAGAAAACCTTTTTAAATGATTCAATCTTAAATTAGTGTGGGAAGAAAAAAAAATCCTCAAAGAAAATCTACAAGGTCACCAAGTCAGTAACATCCTATTTGAAGATGTAGAGTGTCCATCAATGCAAAAGTCATATATGAAAGCTCGATTCGTGACGATTTGAAAGACGAAGGGTTTGACAAACGATCGGACATAAAAGAAGATCGAGATAAGCATTGACAAACTAAATAAAGTATCCTATTCTTAGTTTATGGGTTTTGCAATCTACTACACGTTCGAAAAGTTCTATCCAAATATCACAAATACTTGCAACATGACCTGATTTCATAAATCAATACCTCAATTGTCTGCAAAATTGTTGCTCTGTATCAAAAGACTGAAGCGAAAGGAGAGTAATATGGGAAACCTCTATGTCTACACTTTTCGAAATTTCATCCAGATCACCAGTTGTGAGAAGCTTAGAATGTGTTGTGACCTGAAATATAAACATCTTTTTTTTTTTACATTTTTAATCCTGAAAAGCTTTTTGATGATTTGTTCCATAGATATCTCTATATAAAATTTTGATCCCCTTTGGAAGCCCCAACCTTCCAGTGGTACCCGACTTCAACAAGCTTGAAACCGCAATACCTGAGTTAAAATGACAGCCCTGCTGTTCTTAAGAAGAAGAAATCTGAAGATTCTCTTCTACACATGTATATACAAATAATGACCCAATATTGTGGTCTCACTCATTACTGCGAGCCATAATTTGAAATTAGACTTCACACTATGTTTAAAATGCAAAAATCTTTCACGTTTTTTTTTTTCATTCCTGGCCCCTTGGTTCTTGTTCTTTATCATCTCCCTTTGGATGAGGCAAGATCTTTAACTTGAAAAATTTTAAATACCCTTTACCTAAGGATGCTTTGTACCAAGTTTGGTTGGCCAAATGGTTCTAGAGAAGAGGTTAAAATTTGTAAAGCTACAGATGAACGGGCAGACGGACAGACAGCTTGATCTCACAGCTCATTGAGCTTATAATATCATTTTAATATTACCCACCATAATTTACTGTTGAATTAATAATATTTTTTAAAAATAATTTTATTACCTATGAATCTATATTTTAAAATAATCTCATGTATAAAGAGAAAAGTAATAAAAATCAAAAGAACCTGAAGACACATGGTGGTCTTTTCCTCTCTTAGGTGGTTAAGAAAGTATGAAGAAAGGCTTTCATGTTTTTGATAAAAAAAGTACTTGTCACGGATTTCCTTTTCAAACTCTTTTAACTTTGTTGTGCCTAGACGCAAAATGGCATCTGGGGTAACACACCACAAAAGCAATTCTTTTGAGCTCTCCAAAATCTGTACAGAAAAAAATCAATTTCTGAATGAGAGTATAAATTACACAGGTGAAAAATTCATTCAAATTAAATTATAGCTAAGATAGAATATAACTAGTCAAACAGATTCAAATAAATCTTAAGCAACGTTCTATAAAGTTCATAAACAATATTTACTCTCAAATAAAGAAAAATGTTCAAAACGTACCCTTTCTCTGAACTCCATGATTTTCTCATCAAATTCTTCGCGATCTTCTTCACTATCGCTTTCACTCTCGGCGTCATTATCTTTTTTTTCTTCACACAGTTCATGGCAAATTTGTAGGACAATAGATGCACACGTGTCAGCATGGTATCCGATAAACACGTCCATTTTTGTCAAGCTAGGTGCTGTATTCCTGAATTTATATACAGGAATTAGTTCCGACTATGATGTTTATAAACTTTTAAGTAATTTTTGGATTGAAATAGTCATAATTGCAAACGAGTTTTATTTAAAAAAAATAAGGGAAAATAGCAAATGTCTTTTAGCTTGTTATATAATAGAAAAAAATTGAACAGTATAGAATTTCTACATGTTACTTTAATGTTTCCTTTTCGTCTTAGCGAGAATAATAGTTAAATCTACCATTTTTTCCATTTACCGTTTGAAGTGATGAGCTTGAATAGTAGTCAAGGGGGTGACAAAATCGTCAATCCATTGTTCCAAATGACTTGTCAGTTTCATTTGAAATGGAGACAACATTGTGGATATGTTCAGAAAATGCTTCTCAAGTCGATTAATCAACGGAATGGGGAATTTTTTGTAAACTACGTCTTTTTCTGCAACAACGATCAACCTACAAATTTAATATCACAGCTTGCTGTATCTTAGAAAATTAAATAAAAATCTTTAATTAACTTGGTTGTGCTAATTAGGATAATTGCAGAAATATTACAATATTCCTAGTAACAAAATAGGTTGAGAAAAGTGGGACTAAGGATTACTTCAAGTAGGTATTGCTCCTGTACGCGAGGCGGGCACTTACTAAATATCAACATTAAATGTATTATTGGATTCAAATTTAAATCTACCTGGTATCTACAATCAGCGTACATTTTTACCCAGTCATCGTAAACGTCTTAATTTACATGCACTCATATTCAGGTCTCTAGGTCATTTATCATTTAACACTCTAATCAATTTTTTTTTCAGTTGATGTGCAATGAAAAAGACAGAAAGATTCAAATGTCTTAACATCATACCTGAAGTTTTTGTGAACTCTGCATTTGACTCTATGTGAACCAAGTCCAAGGTCAACATACCGCTCTCCTCCCAGATAAACATAATACTATAATATGAATTAAGAATTAGTAAATACTTACATGTAGCATAAATATCAAACAAAACTACAATGTATCGAAATAAAGATGAAGACAGGCAGATTAAAAGTTATATCAGAATCTTTCCTGCAAAAAGGGGGGGGGGGAGCTCATGATGTGATAACTCCAAATTTTAAAAAAAAAAAACGAGCACCCAAAGCTGAAATAATACCTGATTTAATGCATCATACAGGCTTTCATATAAGTTTTCCAGATTCAAGAGGATTACAGTAGCTCCGGTCTCCATGCAGACTTTTATTCGGTTGATATTTCGACAGACCTGTCAATAAAACCCGAATCTTAAACTCTATACAAATATAAAAATATATAAACATGAAAAAAAAACAATAACAAAAAATATATATTGAACATTTTCTAGGTTTTAGCTACCTGTGTATATTGTTGATCACTTTGAAAACTGCTCCCAAAAATTGTAATCGTGTTCATTTTCAATACTTTCTGCTGTAACACCGAGAGTGCTCCGTAATTTTCGGTGAGCAAAAGAAGATATCTTGATTGTCTTAGTTGAAAAAAAAATCACAATTAATTGGGATTAATTTGAATTCATCTAATAAATTGGTATATTTAGGTTCACAATACAGTTTTCTTTAAATATCTAGAGAACAAATTGCTGAAAATTATCCACAGAAATGAGAGAGAGAGAAAACAAATTGATCAATTTTCGAAATCTGAAGACTTTACAATCTTACTTTTCTCGAAGACACGCTTTTATCAGTCCAGTTGCACTACAGTCTGGATCTCCAGCGGTTGGCTATAAAATTGAAAGAGAGTTAAGTCTGCATTTGCTGTATTGCATTGATCAAAATTAACAGCCAGGGTTAAAAAGCATATAAGAGACATCTTATTTTCAAGTATGCTTTCCTGACACTCCTTCGACACAAGTGATGTCTTTTACAATTTCCCGTTTCATAGCTCCGGGATCCTCAGGATTTTTCCCTTCTGAGCCTTGATCTTGTCTAATAGACCTTACATCAGAGTTATGGCATATTTTGGTGATTGTAATCAACATTCTGGTATTGTGAGATTTATTCCAGTGCAGTGTTGGGTATGGGCAATTTTTACATTTTCAACTAAATGACCTTAACCGATTGTTAATGATTATGGCGGGGGTTGCTGAACAACCTCTTGTCACAAGAAATTTAATATTTCAAAATGGCTAAGGTAAGCTAAGCTTTTTGAATTGGATCATCTTCTTAACAAGTATGGCATCCGTAGTTCAAATAAACTCAAATTTTGAAGAAAGTAGTTAAAAGTTGATGCCACTCAGTAAAAATAATCATAATAGATAAAGAAAAATGCATATTTTCCAAATTTCCAAACTATGACGTTTTCTCTGTCTGTCTCTCTCTCTCTGTCTCTCTCTCTCTATAATCTCAAAACTGCCTTCAATCACATTTGTTTACCGCTTCATTTCTTGTAACATAAGGCTCAAGGTGCTTGATAAAGATTTTTAGTGGGTCTATGTCTATCTCTTCAGTGCCACCAAAGTTTCGTTTTATCGAATGCTTCAACATCAGCCAAGTAGGACGTCTTTTGTTTGTGACAGTGAACGCGTATATCATCTTGATGAGACTAAAATAAAAAAAAATCTTTTGGATGAACCCAATTTAGAAATTATACTTTAGATTGACAATAAAATCTTTAAATTAAGCAAGGCCATCTTCAAACAATTGTATGTTTACCCTCTCCCGACCGACTCTAAACTTTTTTAACCTCCAGGCTTCTGAGCAACCAACGTATAAATATCTCACAACAAATTTCAGTCTCGAATCTTAAATTTCTGCCTCAGCTTGGATTTTCCTAAATTGCCGTGCCACTAAGATTTCTGAGATTCGTTTCATGCGTGTTGAGATTTGAGAACAATGTAAGACTTATTCCCATTGTTATATGCAACCCTTTTCTGATAAGGCACAAAATAGTTGAATGAAAGATAGAATTTAGTTTCATTCTGTTTTTCCCCTTCTTTTGTTTGTGCAATATTTTTGTGTAGAATCATAAAAAATACCACAGGGGCTTGATCATATTGTGTACAATATTTTCAAAAATAATATTATACACTTATCCTCTGGCTGTAAGTGGGATAGCTCTTTTATCAAACCCGCGACAGGAACTATTCCCCGAGTGCTTGCCCGAGGGGAATAGCTCCTGTCAAGGGTTTGATAAAAGAGCTATCCCACTCACAGCCAGTGGATAAGCGTTTTATTATACTGATGTATATCATAATTTCTGAGTGTTTGTATTACCTGATACTACAGTTTCATAGGCAAAACATGAAAAGAATAATTAATACTTGATTATAATTATTACTTAATTGAACAAGTATTTGGAATAAGATATAACACTGCTAGAATGAGCTGAAATCCTGATGACGTCACAATGCTACTGAAGTCAGGATGACATCATCAGTCTATAGACTGATTACAGGAAATCAAAATTGGCGGCAAAAATTGCATGAAAATTTTCCGAGGTGTGGGTAGCACAAACTATACCCCGGGTTATAGCTTTGCTCTGCATGGAAATTTTCAGACTATAAAAGATAGTTATTTTACCTTCTTAACTTTATATAGGAAACATTTTAACAGAAGTATAATAATTTCATAAATCAACCATCCAATTGTTTCAGTGGTAGGTATATGATTTTTTTTAATGTTCCTAATTATACAACGGGAGCAAGCCCTGTGAAAAATACGCCCCCACTTTCTTCACCCTTTATTCATTCAGCGGTTAGGATTCTATTACGAACTTTGCGGCATAAATATTGTTTAGCAAGTTCAAGTTAAACAAGAGGCCCATGGGCCACATCGCTCACCTGAGTACATGTAGCTTTGGCCATGCTGTTCATTACCAGACTTTCCCCCTTATAATACCTATTGTGGCCCCTATATATTTCAATGTAAAACTTGGGATTCCCTATTGTGGCCCCGACCTACCCCCGGGGTCATGAATTGAATAATTTAGAGTGTACACTACTTGAGGATGCTTCCACATAAGATTCAGCTTTTCTGGCTCAGTGGTTCTTGAGAAGAAGATTTTTAAAGATTTTTCCTATATATTTCAATGTAAAACTTGTATTCCCTATTGTGGCCCCGACCTACCCCCGGGAGTCATGATTTGAACAATTTAAAATCTACACTACCGCAGGATGCTTCCACATAAGTTTCAGCTTTTCTGGCCCAGTGGTTCTTGAGAAGAAGATTTTTAAAGATTTTTCATATATATTTCAATGTAAAACTTGGATTCCCTATTGTGGCCCCGCCCTACCACGGGGGTCATGATTTTAACAATTTAGAATCTACACTATCTCAGGATACTTCCACATAACTTTCAGCTTTTCTGGCCCAGTGGTTCTTGAGAAGATTTTTTTAATGACCCCTCCCTATTTTTGACTTTTCTTGATTATCTCCCCTTGTAAGGGGACTTATCCCTTTATTTTAACAATTTAAACTGTTAATTCCTGCAAGAATAAAAAATGTGTGTAGCATACTGTTAGAATATTCCGTTTTACACCCACGTTTTTGAACATATTCAAATGCACTGTTTCACTGAATGGACAAATTTATATCAAAGTTATAAAATGAGTCATTTTATATTACATGTGCATTATATTTTTTTTTACCCCCCCCCCCTTTTCGTCAAAACTGCATATCAAAATAAGTCATACTCAGACATAAGGAATGATCTAGTTTTCGCAGAAATGAACACGCTTTCTTTCCTTACACGTTACTTTCGTGTATTTTTATGAATTTAACTGTGTAGTTTCATAAAATTCTCGACCATTTTACTATAACATAATCCGTCGCAGTAGTTAGAGCGTTTGCTCTAGAGTCGCAGAGTAAGGAGTTGCTCCGAAGGTTCGAATCCCACACCGGGACGTGGAGACCCGTCCTTCGGATGAGACCGTATAAACCGAAGTCCCGTAAGTCGCAGTAGGTGCTGGCACGAAAAAGATCCCTTACTGCATATTTCGCATATTTTTTTCTCAATCGAGTCCGAAAAATCGTTGGTCGCACGCACGTTTGAGAAAAATCTCAGAGATGGAGGCCCCGAAGCTTGGAAACGTATCAATTTGTAAACAACAAAATAAAGCAATAGCAAATAATTTTGTACCTAAATTCGATTATCTTTTATTTGCATCTTATTGCATGTATGACCCTGACTTGGTATGCCCATACCTGAGATGACTGTATACTTCAAAGACAATTCCATCAAGTATTTATTTTATGAATTTTGAACGTTTGACTATGTTTGAAGTTTTTTAAAACATGTAAATGGGCGACCAAAATAAATATGACATCATTAACATACAAACGGTAATAGAAAGAGGAAATTAACCATTTATAATTAAGGTCAGACAACACGTTCCCCGAATATCTGTTTATGCATACCTTTGTAATATACCAAAAAATATTAATAATTATCATTTTATTTTGATTTCTAAACTATTTTCAAAATGTCTGAAAAATATATCGACCCAAAACGTGATTTCAGCAGTTCAAGTGATTTCTAGTATAGGATTATATAAGAAAGACCATCCTCCGGAATCTTGCAAAAATGCCTGGTATTGTACCTCAATTTTTTGTGAGGGAGCTTCTTAAAGTAGCAATATTTCAATCACAAAATATTGGGAGAGGTTAAATATTTTTGACGATCATGCCGTCTGACCTTAACATTCTTGATAACTATTTTTTACGAGGACAAACACATCTGCATGTAAACCTGTAAAAGTCTCTCAATCCAAAAAATTCTCGTTTCTTAAGCACAGCTTCAAAAATAGCCAGGTATGCATTTGCCAGAGGTTTGATCAAGGAACTAATCCAGTGCTGTTTTTCCTCGCTACATATCCCTCTGAAATAGTTTTATTATACATGACACAAATTAGTTATTGTGTTTCTCTCCTCTCGGATCTATTAGAAAGAAGTATTTTATTTCAGTAGTATATTTGAAATCAAAATATGAAACAGATCAATATATTACTCACTTAGCCGTTTCAATTAATTCGTCAAGGTCTGGTGTTTCACGTTGTACGAGAATTCCTCGGTTCATTTTTGCCGGATCCAAGGCCCAATTAGATATACCAATAAAAGCAACCTGATGTAGTGATATGGTTGACAAGTATTAATTTACTATACACGAACCCTTAACAAGTAACAATTCTGATTTGAAAGCTACAATTAATTGAAATGTTCATTAAGTATTTACACATTTGTCAGTGAATATATACCAGCAACGTTTTCTTTTATCTTGAATTTATACCTTCTTGTAGGGTTCTGGTTCTTCATCTTCAAGACAACCGTTTTCCAACAGTGGATGTAATGTCTAAAATAAATTATATCTTTTATTTTATCTTATAAGTCTTTTATATAATTATTATTTATATACATGTAATTTTTACCATATACTTTCAGGTTTCTCGACGGAACGCTGCAAAATTTGATATTACAAGAGAGAACTCACCCAGGATTAAAAAAAAATGAATTTGCGTGAACATTTTACGATTAACATTTCATTTTCTACTTTCGAAATATCACTTGCAAAACAGTGATATTTCGTAAAATAGAAAAATAGTTACAAGAGGCCAAAAGGCCTTGACGGTCACCTGTGTATAATACAACACTGTAAGGGATCCATGGAAGTTTAAAACAAAATTAACTGATAGATGAAACTATGTTCCGAAGAATTTCTAAAATGTGGTTAAGATACCCTTGCTTATTGTAACATGCAAAACCCGAGCGATTTCTTTGGGATCGAGATGATGAATGAAAAATATACAATGAACACTTGCCTAGTGTGTAAGGTATTTGATATATACAGACATGTTTTTGTCCCTTGCCTAGTGCTACAACTAAGTAGACTAAGAGAAATCTCTAATGCCTGTATGTTTTACTCGAGGTGATGTCTCTTGGCTACACAAACAATTTAGCTGCTTGCCACTTGGTAACACTTGGTACCAAAACTTGCCTTTTGGGTATACAAACAACTTGATCATACTTGTTACCAGCACTCACCACTTAGCTATACAACGTGGCTATTTGCCACTTGTCACAAACTACAACACGTACCCTAGTCACCCTGGTTCTTTGTGATCACTTGGTCATTTTGATATAGTAAAAAAAAACTTTATAGAGGCTTTACCACCTGATCTATGGTCTCCATGACTTTACCAGACAATAACTCTTCAATTCTCTACCAGGACAGCACAGCATACACATACTCTGTACAATTGGCTATTTTGCTACATAAATTATCTTTATGTCAATCTTTTATACTGCTTTACAGGCAAGAATCCGACTTTGAACATGCTTTGCTCTTTAAACCAAACATTCATTTTTATTTTGTTTCTATATATATATATATATATATATATATATATATATATATATATATATATATATATATATATATATATATAACATTCTTTCTTCTATTCTCATTCAACCAAATAACTTCTTAATTAAATCATCTACAAGGATTTCTTGATTAATACAATTCAGCAAAGGGGAGTAACTCTCATTTGCTTCACTTATTACAATTTTGAACTCCGTTTGCCTCCGTGATACCTAGGGCAGAGAAGAGGCACATATATTTATACATTTTCATTTATATTACTGCATTTAGTTTGTTTGCTTAATACCCAGGAGGAGAGGAAATATTTTCAAAGCAATGATGCATTTTCGCTATTTAATCAACAGAGCCCCGCCCAAACACCAGAACCCCTGACCCGAGGGTCATGAAATTCACAATTTCGAAAGAGGCTCCCTTCCTCATCATATCTATGCACTTAGTTCATCAACTTCATACCCAGCAGCAGAGGAGGAGATTTTCAAAGAATAAATGGATTTTCACTATATATTCATTAGAGCCCCGCTTTAACACAAGAACACCTGACCCAGGGGCCATGAAATTCACAATTTTGAAAAAGGCACACTTGCTCATCAAAACTATGCATTGAGTTTGATTCCTTAATGCTCAGGAGAAGAGAAAAAGATTTTTTAACATATAATGCATTTTCACTATATATTCAACAGAGCCCGCACTAGCACCAGAGCCACTGACCCAGGGGCCATGAATTTCAAAATTTTGGTAGAGGGCTCAATGCTAATTGCCATCATGCCAATAGATTGACTTCGTAATGTTCAGATGTAAAGAAAAAAGATTTTTAAAGATTGCATTAATTTTTATGGTTTTAGTTCCCCCTCAGGCCCAAGGGGGCAAGGGCAATTAATTTCGCAATTTTTGTCCCCCTTCACCAATATATGCTGTATGCCCAAATTGGTTAAAATTGATTCATTGGTTCCAGACAAGAAGCTGAAAATGTTTAAAAGTTTACGACAGACGGACCACGAACGACGACGGACGAAATCAGATAGCAATAGGTCACCTGAGTGAATACTGTTTGACAATATAAAAGATATAGTGATAACGTTGTCACTTTGAATTATTATAGTAATTAGTGATTACTTTGAAAACTTTGATTTACTATATTGATCACAATGATACTATAGTGATTACTTTGAAAACTTTGATTACCATCTTCCTTGGAAGACGGTATACGGAGTTGGGGTATTTTACAGTCTTCTGACTATGCACTTCCTCACATCTATGATTGGTAGAAAATGCATGATGTGAAAATTTTCAATTATTTCGTTGGTTAAAATCCTGTGTTAGGCAAGGGAGATAATTTTCGTACAACTTAACAATTTTTCAAGACTTAAAAATCGAACAAAATAAAGTTACAGTATTGAAACTGTAACTTTAATTTCTTTTTTAAAATTTATATTTTATGATTACTTGAAATAGAAAGTTCTTTTCTGCATGTAAACATTGAAATACTATAGTGATGACTACATGCATGACACTGTAGTGATCACTATGACACTATAGTGATAACTATGACTCAATAGTGATCACTTTGAAAACGTTTATTAACTATTGTGATAACTTTGAAAATTTGATTTACTATATTAAACATTGATTTACTTTAGTAAATAATAGTTAACTTTAGTAAACTATCGTTTACTATTGAATTGTTTTGTTAGAGATATCTTGTACACTTAAAATGATAGATTAAGCAGAAAACATACACATTTACCGATAAGGCTTACTTCGTAAATATATAATAATAAGTAGTTGCTACACATACTTTGAGTGGCATTTTTGGGGAGTCTTCCGCAAGTCCTACTTCGTCAAGAACAACAACAGAAACAAATTTCTTCAGATCACCATCTTTTTGATACTTTGCACATTGACGAAATGTTGCAATTATGCCTTCCGCTATTGACAATGGACTGCATTGAAAAGACACCATTTTCACCTGAAACCATGCAAAAATTTACTTTTAATTTTGGAGAATATCATCAATTTTATAAATACAAAAAAGCTATGAGAACAGCCATTTGATTTTGTAAATAACGTAACCGCAGATACCTGTTTGTAATTTTTGAAAAGTGGCGAGAATGAAGAATTTCCCTGCATGGCGTCTGCAACTATAGTCTTTGCCAGAGATTTTGAACTCCCAGGCTTTCCAACCAAAAATAAAGGTATTCGAAGTTCTATGCAGACTAACATCATAAATACATTCTCTTTCAGGGCCTTGTTTCTGGCTATGTTTTCGTCCAACTTCACATTATTCAAAAACACTTCTTGGCATCTACGGTGATGTAATATTTTTTTACAGATTAAAATGAATGAATTTTAAACACATCAGAATATAAGAACATTTTAATATGAAGAGGTGTATAAGTAACAATAATAATAATATAAAAAATAATAGTACAGCATGATAAAGCTTACTCCTACATTCTCTGAAAACATATTTGGTTATCAATTATAACGTTTCTATCATTATATTTCAGATGAAGTATTTATGAAAATCATGTGTAATAGGTGTGGATGATGCTTTTTGTCTTCATTTTTCCTAGCCCATCAATTGAAGTTTTAAAGTTTCAAATTATAAAAGATGATAATTTTTTTTTTACATGTAGCACTATATATATATATATATATATATATATATATATATATATATATATATATATATATATATATATATATATACTTCAAGAAACACGTGATATGCTTCAAATTAAACAGATGAAAAGGGCATTAGAAATATCAAAGATAAGTAGCTTTGAAAGGAATCTTCTCTCTAGCCTATTGGAAGAAATATAGTATGCAAAGTTTGATCGCATTGTAGTCATAGGCATTTTATGAAGCATTCTTTGAAGTATGGTCCATAAATTTTGCATATTGTAGAATATGTTGAAATATAATTGATGTTTCAAAAAGTTACTTTCTCGAGAAAATTGTTAACTTTCGAGATAGTATGCGCTATATAAGCATGTCAGTAAGCAATCAATATGACATTCAGAAATCACAAGTGATACCGTTCCTACGAACTGGTGAAACCTGATATATGGGTATACCTTTGCTTTGTAAGAAACTTGCTAACTATTCTATTGAACAAAATTGATTTTCTTAATTGCTCTTCTCAAGCTCGGCTATTGTTTGGATTTCAGAAATATCAGGAAACTGCATTTCACGTATCTTTTGCACATGAGACAAGAAATTTCAATTTTTGAACCTCAACAGTTTTAAACCTTTCGCCAGGAAGAAATTTCGAAACAGACTGAAAGTTGTAGACTATAACATTTCACTAATCCATCAATATTTTTCTTGTAAATGGTACATTTCAACTCTTTCCTATTTTTCGTATATTCAGTGCAGATTCATAAAAGAAAATATAGATTGCTTTATCCAGTAATTTTAGGTACTTATTTAATTTCCTTGAACATAAGGATGGGGGATCTTTTGAATTGGTATTTATTTTAATTTTCCTATGTATTTGACAAATTAAATTGGCATAAATTTTCTACAAAATTTAAGGTGTTTCAAAGGCTGGGCATTATCTATATCACCAAAAATAAAACAGACACAAACTTGGGCTTAAACGTGATAATTTTGTATAACAATGAGAGTCTGATCATTGTTTGATGGGTTCTTGCAAAGTAAATATGCTCGGTAACCAATATCAAAATAAAAATATTTAGAGGCAGATATAAATACATGATGCATACATGATGCATAAGTAAATCAAATTTTAAAAAATGAGTCACCATATGCATGCATTGCTGTGCAATGATGATTTATAAGCAAGTATAGATCATAAATGTATATACAGTTTTTTGTGTACATGTACTTTCCTCTGCTATTTGTCAGGTGATAACCTTTGCTACAGTACAAATCTAATGAGCAATAGATCCTCGAGAACTTTTTGTTATTCGTTCTTAAATGGATATCTGATTCAATTGATGCTCAACAGAGACACATAAACCCTCAAAACTAGCTGCTTAGATAAAAAAAAATCTTGATCAAAAGGTTAAAGTAATTATATTAACGAACTAATAAAGCTTTTGGTCACTCATATCAGACACCGATTGTAGTAACATGAACTTGAATCCACATCAAAAACTAAAAACGCAAACTTATTTGAAATCTATATGTTGATTTGTAGAAAAAAACTGTAAATAAATGTTTTTAGGTAATAGACTGGATCACAATCTTGATAGCAACCTTGTTTATTAAGACCATGATTTAAACAAACTAAATAAATATTTTCTGTATATGAATCATTGCCAGAATAATTACTAATGAAAATATGTAGGCAAACTAATTTTAATTCAATTTCAAAACTTATTAAACACATACACTGGTAATACAAATAATTGAACGTTACAGTATTTTTTTTCTTTCCTTTAACAGTTATATTTACCTGTCTATCAGATCCAACATTTGTTCTGAACCACGTGGTAAATAAAATGGGTCCACAAACGTCTTTGTAATTGTGCTCCGAAATTCATCTCTGTTCTTCAAAGATGCGTGGTAACATACTCCAAGTGCCAATACTAATGCTGTTGTAAGATTTGTTACTTTCTAAAACAAATATTTGAAAAACAATAAATACCACCAAGCCTTGAAATTGACATAAAAATCACAATGCCAACTGTGAACAATACCTCAATGTTCTCGTCAGTGTCACCGTCGTCTTCTTCGTCCTCATCGGATGATTCATCAGTCTCTGTTGGTTTGTTTAACATATTTAATAATAAAGAACCATTTTCATCTTCGTTGCAAAACCAATTGAATACTGTTAAAACTCTTTCAACATCTCGCAAACTGACAAAACTGCACTCATCCTGCAAGATATTACACATCTATATACACTTCATATTTTTTATTACACAGATTATTTATTTGTTTTTATTTGTACTGTTTAAATAAGTGTTATCTTTCTTTCTATTACCTTACTACAATTACAAGTGCTTAAAACATCCAAATGTATTTTAGATTTTAATTAAAATTAGTGTTATTTATTTTTGCCTTTTGTTTTCTCATAAATTCCTGTGCAACAGTCAGAATACGACTGAGAACGTCCTCTATACCGTCAACATCTGGAATTTTACCATCTTTCTTCTGCAAATAGGGAATATTAGTTTTACTGAATTTTTTTTTTATTCAAATCTAAAGATTAAGAAACGTCGTGCTATTTTTTTAAATGCAATTACAATAATCAGAACCGGTTAAAACAGGTACATATAAACGTAATTTGAATTTAAGAGAAGAAATTCAAATGATTTGCCTCCATTTTAACCCAAAAGCTTACTTAAATGTTTTTAAAATAATTATACACATACATATCTTAAGATCATCTGCTTTGTGTACAATTCCTCAACCTTCGTGTCTAGTTGCCCAAAATCCCAAACAAGAGGCAACAGGCTTTGTGGTAATGGCTGTACCCGATATACCAGCCTCCTCATTGGTATCCTACCTATAAAATCAAATATGCAAGTTTATTTTGTTTGTGTTATATCGCTCAAATGAAGAACAAAAATAAACACAGTTGAAAAGTATCTTTTACCCATTCGATCTGTTGTATTGTAAGCATCCACATGATAACCAAGTCCTGCTTGCTCTAGCCTTTGTATCATCTTTTTAGAGTGTCTGGGAATACAGTATTTTATCAAACTCTGTCAATAATTTAACAAGAGGCCCAAGGACCTTGACAATAATCCGAGCATGTTACAACCCTGTAAAGGATCCACGGAATGGTAAATAATTACATAAAAATACATAATAAACTGAAACTTAAAAACAAGAGAAATGAGCAGGGGTCATCAAATAGTTCGTCTGGTAGTCAGCAACAACTTAGAAACTTGTATTTATATGCTTGTGCTATATACACTCTAACACTATCAACAAAGATTACATGACAATAGGGCTTAAGCATTAAAACAATAATATTCACACATATGGAGACGCCACCTCTTGCCGGTGGAGAGCTGCAAATTTTGTCCTATACTCGGCACTTACGGCCGTCAAACGAAATAAATATGGAATAAATACAGCTGCCAACTCGGCGTTAAGCAATAAACACTAAATGAACTTTTTTCTAAACGATCAAAAGCAAACGTTCAAAATGTGTAACTAAATTCTTCACATCAGAAATTTCTTGAATGAAGGTAAATATTGTGCATTAATTAAAAGAAAGCACGCCCAGGGACCGGTTAATGTACATACAAATCATGCTTGATTTTGTATGATTCCTACTCGTCAAGGAAATTTTGATAACGATTGCTTGTCAGAGAATATTAGCCCCGAACCCATCCCCACGCACCCCCAAAAGAGAAGCCTGTATAGGGAAGACGCTATTTAAAACATCACGTTAGCTTAATATCCCTTGTCAGAAAATGTCACAGATATTTATTACTTTTCTTTTTTGATATCACATATTGTCGGAAACCCAAGTCAATCCCGCATAAGCTCATTAAGTGATGATAAATCCATAATGTCATATTATAAATAAATGTTACAATAAGTAATCACAATACATTACAGTAAAACACACTTACAGCGAATAAGCTTATAACGAATTGACGGTTACAGTGAAATGATTTTCGTTCACCCTGACTTTAAAGTATATTGGTAACATAACGGACATAACGAAGAAAAACCATTCGTCCCTGGCACTTGGTTATAATTGTGTTTTACTGTTTTAAAAGTATATGGAAAATTATCGCTTGAAGACTTGTGTATGATTTCTAAACGTAAATGGTCGCATTTTTCTTAAAGCAGTCTGTAAGCGTTTAAAAAAAAATGATTTGTGCAAGATGCAGCTCGTTTTGTGATTTATACATGGAGATGTACCTCAGAATGGTAATAAGTCAAATTTAATTTTATAAAAATTATTGATGTTCAAAATCAAAATATTAGTGTGTGATGATGCATTGCGAGCATAAAATCGATCCCTCTTCACAATATGCACGACGAACGAAAATATATAGCAATAGGTCACCTGAGTGACTCATGTGACCTAGAAATACTGATATTTCTAACAATATTAAACAGTCTCAAATGTTTGACTGTTATGTAAGGGTTATATCCAGGAATAATATATTTATTCCTAATTTAGAACTAACTTGTTTTTATCTACATTTAATGGACAATGGTAAAAAAATATTTGAACATACTTTTTGTAGGGATTGCAAGCAGCTACGATTTTTAAAGACTGGCATAGATTTAATGGTTCTCCACATATCGTTTTATCACACATAATTTCCTTGATCACACCTATTGCTTCGGTTGTGTTTGCTTCATCAAAGAAAAGCACTGTGAATATGTTCTTGGTTTCTTCTTTTTCAGAATTTCTTTTTGCTTCTTTTTCAGCCTCTTTCACTTTATTGATTATGTCTATCTTTTTTGTTCCTCCATGCACCTGAATAACATTTTTTTTATTGTGAATGTTTCAAACATGGTCCCAAATATGGTTCAATAAATATGTTATCCTTATACAAAACATGTGTGCTGTTACTTTCTTCCAGGTATAATATTTACAACCAGCCACTGTGATACTTATTTTGAAAGTATATAAAAAAAAATAGTCGGGGAGGGAAGTCTTGTGAAAAAACATGATACGGGAAAAAATAAAGAACATGTACAGTGTAGATTACGTTTACTAAAAATGTTTACTTCATGAATTAAATATCATATTTACCTTCATCACAAGCATGTTTTTCACATTCTTCACATCAGGGCATTGAAGCTGGCACATAAACTGAATAAGTCTAGTTTTTCCACATCCTGTTTCTCCCATAATGATTACAGGTATGTCACATCTACAATAAATTGTATAATGTGTATCTTAACAAATAAATTGAATTTCATACCACAATATGCCTTTTCTAAAAAATAAAGTGCTTTTTATATTGTCAATCATAATAAGAATCCCGAACTGTCCTCTGTGGCAAGGATTAAACATTGATTAATTTTTTTTTTGTTTTTAGCACACCTGAGCTGAAAGCTCAAGTGAGCTTTTCTGATTACCCGTTGTCCGTCGTCCGTCCGTTTGTCCGTCTGTCTGTTAACTTTTCACATTTTTGACTTCTTCTCAAGAACCACTGGGCCAATTTTAACCCAACTTGGTACAAAGCATCCTTCGGTGAAGGGAAGTTTAAATTGTTAAAACGAAGGGCCAAGTCCCCTTCTAAGGGGAGATAATCAAGAAAATACAAAAATTGGGTGGGGTCATTAAAAAATCTTCTTCTCAAGAACCACTGGGCCAGAAAAGCTGAAACTTACGTGGAAGCATCCTGGGGTAGTTTCGATTCTAAATTGTTCAAATCATGACCCCCGGGGGTAGGGCGGGGCCACAATAGGGAATCCAAGTTTTACATTGAAATATATAGGAAAAATCTTTAAAAATCTTCTTCTTAAGAACTACTGGGCCAGAAAAGCTGAAACTTATGTGGAAGCATCCTGGGGTAGTGTAGATTCTAAATTGTTCAAATCATGACCCCCGGGGGTAGGGCGGGGCCACAATAGGGAATCCAAGTTTTACATTGAAATATATAGTAAAAATCTTTAAAAATCTTCTTCTCATAAACCACTGGGCCAGAAAAGCTGAAACTTATGTGGAAGCATTCTGGGGTAGTGTAGATTCTAAATTGTTCAAATCATGACCCCCGGGGGTAGGGCGGGGCCACAATAGGGAATCCAAGTTTTACATTGAAATATATAGTAAAAATCTTTAAAAATCTTCTTCTCATAAACCACTGGGCCAGAAAAGCTGAAACTTATGTGGAAGCATCCTGGGGTAGTGTATTCTAATTATTCAAATCATGACCCCTGGGGGTAGGGCGGGGCCACAATAAGTACTACGGGAGGGGGGGGGGAGAGAAATCAGGTGAAAAACAGCAAGGCCAAAGTTACTCAGGTGAGCGCTCTTGTTTTTTTTTTTTTTTTTTTTTTTTTTTTTTTTTTTTTTTTTTGGCAAAAAATAATATGCTGCTTACCGAAATCTCATGTAGATGGCCAAAATTTTCTTCACATTGTCCATGGTCAGTTCGTATGTACTATCTGGATCGTGTACTCTCTTCAAGCCCATAACAGAACCCAATTTTTGTAACTTGTCTTTTCTGAAATTGGAATACGTTTTTTGTTCAAATTTTTTTTAAGTGAAATCTTAATCATGGGACGAATACATTGCAATCCATTGAAAACACTCAAAAGAATGCATATAAGCATTCCAAACTACCAATGATAACGATTCCCATTTTTTAAAGACTACCTTGCAGTGGCGTTTTAAAGAAAAAAAAATGCATCGAAATCTAAGCACAATTCACGAAGTTCTCCACTTTAAAAATTGCTATTTTCACCTGTTTTGAAAATCCAATCAAGCAAAAACAGAAGTGATCGATAACGGGGTTCTATTGGCGTGACGTCACAACATGATCCGCATAAGCGGTTCAGTATAAGGACAACGAGATTTACTTGGAAAACAACGAAGATACTAGCTTTGATATGTGGCATGAGTCTATAAGTTTTGTTTTAAAAAAAAGCAGATGAAATAATCACTGAGTTTGGCCTCAGACCTTACCAGTCTGAACCAGAAGCCGATTGTGACGAGGAATTTAGATTTCAAAACAGCCTACAGCCAGGGACGTATACACTATATATATCCGTGTTACAGCCTAGTGAATATGATTGGAAAAACGAATCACCAAAATGCACAAGATTCAACAAATCTCTCAGTAACATATCATTCTTTTGTAGTCTTCAGATATCTTTGATATTATTTGAAAAAAATAAAACAGTGAAGGTTATAAAATATACACACAAAGAGCAGAACTATAAAGAGCCCGGCTTCTTCACCTAGTAGTCTACGGCCCTTATTACAGAAGGACACCCCCTCCCATTTTAATCAGATTTAAATAGTATTAGGAAGTACATAGAGTTTTAAATTTCTATGTACTTCCCTATACTATATAATAGAAATATCAATTCCATATTTTCATTATTCAAAGAATACAACAGCAAACATCATGTACGTACTTATTATTTTTAAACAGAAACTTTTTTTTCTTTTTCTACGTTTGTGTACTGTGTTTTCTGTGCAGGTGGTTATTGCTTACAAGTAGAAATTCAAAAAATAAAAATGTATTCGGAGGGAAAAAAAGATATGAAATAAAAAGAAATTTCAAAAACCGTCGATCCTAATTATTAGAAACTTTTAAGCGATCCGTTACTAAATAACACCGCACACAAAAATTATGACAATATATTTACTAAACTAATTTCAAACAAAACTAAGAACAAATAATTCAGTAATTATGAATTTAACATTCACAAAAATCCCTACAAATTAATGACAAAACACCAAAAAACCTCATCGTTTCTCCACTGTTTTCTTTGCATTCAAAATAGTCGGTATATGTGTCACAGCGACTAAGACCCAAAAACCGAGCTTTTCAGAAAATCGCTCAAGTGTGAAATAGGGGTTTCCTCCAATATCCGTTAGTTGTGCATAGATTTCGGTGCAGTTTTTTTTAAAAGTGATCTTCAGTATATTAAAAAATAAAAAGCCACTGCAGGTACCCTATAAAAATATTTTTTTTTTTTAAAAAAAAAAAAAAAGGCAACTGTTTAAATAAATTGTCCATGATGAAGAAAATCATAAAGTTAACATTATTTAATAGCTTGTGACATTTTTATGCCAAACGACTAAGGTCCAAAAATGATATTAGTTTCTCGGGCCACTTTGGCCAAGCAGTCGGCACTATTACGTGAAAGTTGTGGATCTTTCGGATGGGACCTTAAAAACAGAGGTTCTGTATCATGACAGGTGTTGACACGATAAAGTTCCCTCAGTGCTCAATGACCCTGAGTGTCGATTAAAATAATATATTTTAAGCCTTTCTCCGGCATATGTTGACGTCTTATATGAGTTAAGTAATCTTGCTGGATGTAAAAGTACAATTAATCAAGCAAGCAAGCAAATCAGTGCAGGGAATTACTTCTTCTTATATTTACTTCAATTGAAATTAAATTTGGCTCATTAAAATAAAATGTTCTAGATTAAAAAATTAGTATCATCTAATTCTTATTAATCATCGGCTTTCGTTACGATCCAACCGTTCATGGTAGCTCAGTCGGTAGAGCGCTCGCTTCGTGATCGGGAGAACTTGAGTTCGAATCTCGGCCGCGACTGACCTAAGTCGATAAAAATAGGTAGCAACTGTTCCTTTAACATGCGCTCGGCACTTTGAAGTGAAAGTTGCGGGTCCTTTGGATGAGACCTTAAAAAACGAGGCCCCGTGTCACGGCAGGCGTTGGCAAGATAAAGATAAAGATAAAGATCCTTATCTGCTCAATGACCCTGAGTGCCGAGTAAAGGTCAAAATTTGAAGCCGTCACCGGTATATGATGACGTCTCTATATGAGTGAAAAATTCTCGAATGGGACGTAAAACTACATGTAATCAATCAATCATTACGATCCCGGGTAGAATTCTCTCACCACCCAAGTGGCAGTTTAACAAGTAGAGGACGTAGGATCCTAAGCATTTGGATTCCAATGTAATAAAATTGAAATCTAATTAAAAACACACAAGGCTTTTATTCTCAAAAACTTCACTTTCATTAAAAATTCATTTATACCCTGACTAACTGGGGAAAATGAAATGTGACCCCATCTGTTCGTGTTGAATATACAAAATAGAAGATTTAGCAATAATATTCATGGAAGACTTTTTTTAACAATGATATTTCTTCTTCACTCAGTTTTAAAAACATACTTTACTCATGTTAAACTTTTTTTAATTTTAACTGTAAAAAGGTCGCGATTAATATTTTAGACTTCAAAGATTATTTTTTTCTGACCAAAGTATTAATACTATCCTTGAGTATTTATATTTATAGTAAACATATTTGAACACAAGTAGTTCAAATCAATATTTCAAACATTTTTGTAAGTTTAACTGTTTTACTATGAAACAAGGCTTGTGTCATTTTTATTTCTCTTTACTATTTTACTTCTTTGTTATAGACTTCATAAAAAATTAACGTTACAATACTTTCAGGTGCGAACTTCTTTAAGTTAATCGTTTTTAGACTCAAGAGAGTAACTGTAATAACAGTGGTTGAAAATGTTTCATTGTCGAGTTATAAAATTCATATATCAAAAGAATACATTAAGTATCCATAAAATGGCAGTATAAAAATAAGGAGTTTTGTTTGAAAAATATGTAAATACAACAGTAAATACTTTTTTTAATGCGTAATTGGAACTGCCAGCTCTCCAGTTTCCATTCCATTATTTTTTTCATATCAATGAGACATATTTCACCAAATATAGTTTTTGTTTAATTATTATCAGGCGAATCTAGCTACAAAGGGGTTTTGATTAAGTACTTCAGATTAGTAAGTAAATAAATCTGACGATAACAAACAATAATTATACAAAAAATTGAATAAAACTATACATTTCTATATTTATACTATCTGTTTCAGTTGATTGTAAAAATACCTCGTTAATCTGTCGAAATTTTCATTCATGTTCACATTATTTTGATGCAGAGCTATTCCCAAATCCTTGGATAGGATTGCTTTTTCGATGATTTTTTTGGTTTGGTAATCCACCAGGTTTCCTGTCCATCGGTCAATTGTAAATCCAACAAAAGTCATAGTGTTGTGGTCAGGGTTGAAAAACAAATAAGGGTGAGGACTAAAATGAATATTCAGAAAACACAGAATGAGTTGGACAATGTTTTATGCCTTAGAAAAGGTACAATTATTAATATACAAGTCTTATTTGTCACTCTTTTCATAATTCCCTTTTTATTTCGAGGTTGTTTCAACAATTATGATATTTGATAAATTATTAACAATGGTGAGATATTTTTGAATGTAATTATTAGTTTATATATACATTCTTTATAAATCTTGGAGATATATATATATATATATATATATATATATATATATATATATATATATATATATATATATATATATATATATATATATATATATATATTTCAATCAGTTTAAAAAAAAATACATTTACATATATATTTTAAAGGAATCTCTGCCTAAAACCGCTTTTAATAAAAATACATCAAAGATTTCTTTTTCATCATCTTTGTGTGTTTGCAAATCTTAATCAATAAAAAATTGTTTTTCTAGAGTATTTAAATATAAGAATATATTAATTTATATCAATACGGAAATTAATATAGTAAGAAACAAGATGTGTTTGTGAAACACTGATGCCCCCGTATGGCAGCTTATGGCGAAGGTTAAAGTTTCTCAAATGCAAGTCAAAATCCAGGCCAAAAGATAAAAAATGTTAAATTTGAAAGCCCTAGGTGCAACTGTTCAAAAGTTATGGCGAAGGTTAAAGTTTTTTTAAAAGTAAGTAAAATATCAAGGTCAAGGTCAAAGTTGTTGGTATCCAAAGGAAGGTCTTGTCTCAACAATTACATATGTAAAGGATGAACGCCCTAGCACTAACCATTCAAAAGTTATGGCCGAGGTTAAAGTTTTTCAAAAGTAGGTCAAACTCCTAGGTCAAGGTCAAAGGGTCAAAGTGGTTGGTATCCAAAGGAAGGTCTTGTCACAAGGATTACATATGTGAAGTATGAAAGCCCTAGCACCAACCATTCAAAAATTATGGCCAAGGTTAAAGTTTTTCAAAAGTAGGTCAAACTCCTATGTCAAGGTCAAAGGGTCAAAGTGGTTGGTATTCAAAGGAAGGTCTTGTCACAAGGATTACATATGTGAAGTATGAAAGCCCTACATGTAGCTCTAACCGTTCAAAAGTTATGGCCAAGGTTAAAGTTTTTCAAAAGTAGGTCAAACTCCTAGGTCAAGGTCACAAGGTCAAAGTTGTTGGTATCCAAAGGAAGGCCATATCACAAAGAATACACATGTGAAGTTTGAAACCCCAAGCACCAACTGTTCAGAAGTTATGGCCAAGGTTAAAGTCTCATAAAATTTTGCAAAAGTGGGTCAAACTCCAAGGTCAAGGTCAAAAGGTCAAATATGATGGTACCCAAAGAAAGGCCTTGTCACAGGGAATACACATGTGAAATATGAAAGTCATAGCTCCAACCAATCAAAAGTTATGGGCAAGGATAAAGTTGACAACAGACAGACAGACAAACAGACAAACAGATAAACAGACAAACAGACAGACAGGACAAAAACAATATACCCCCGGGATCTTTCGATCCGGGGGCATAAAAAGTGCAAAGCGTTTGACTCCGTAATATTTTTACTCTCATATATACTCTCATAAATACTGAATGGTAATTGTGAATCAGCGTTGCTTGAAGTTTTACTACCGTGGTGCGATTTCTTTAACAGTGTTTAGTGGAGAATTTTATGTAAAATGAGCAAGCATGTCTTTATACGGAATTATATACAAGTTGTTTATCATTATGATATTAGCAGAAAATCATGTTTAATTGTACAACTTGCTAAACATTAATTTACCTATTAAGGTTCATTGATACTCTGATAAGAGAGATAATCCTTAATGACATTAATATCTTTAATTTCTTTATAAATTTGTCAAGTTGAAGTGTCTTTTTAAACAATTTTGCCCAGCAAGCTGTGCCATAATTGTTTGTTTTTTACTTATAAAACACATTTCTTTTGGGAAATCAGAACAGTTAAAGCAACATTTTATATGAGTGAGCAGAGGGATAATGAACCTTAAATCTGGTTCCATTCTTATACTTTCAATTTTTTTTATCCCTTGTTTATCATCTATTGAATCCAAATGTCTGAAGTAGATTTAAATCACTCGTGAAACACTTTATTCACAGTTTTTATTTAAAAAATACCTATTTTCCCAGGTTCTTCTCATTTGAAATTTTCTAATGTCTGCATTATAAATGTCCTCAGTGTCATCATTTTCAGTCATGGTCGCATAGCTTGGTGTTTCTTCACTTAAATTAAGTGATCTTGTGGCAAAATCCTATAATTTAAAATAAAAATACCAACTTATGTACAAAAATGCAGTACTTGGAAATACTCTTCACAGACTCGTTTTTGTTATAATATACAAGTGTTATTAATTGGTTTTTAGATTCAATTTCTGAATAGCGACTGAATCATTAAGATTTTTTTTACTCACAAATGACTCATAATACCAAAATACTCATCTTTGACTTTTACTCTTAACAGTTCTACGACAAACTCATACCCGAGACATCTGAATCAAAAATTTCAGGACAAACTGTGCAAATCCGGGTAAGAATTCTGCTGCAGCATCGCTTACATAATCAGAACTTTCAAAGTCTAAAAGTTGTGTACTTAAAAACCACACAAAATTCCTCAATTCCGACCAAGAGGGATCAACCACACCACAATGTCTAAAAAGAGAAGAGGAAGTTTACTATTGATAAAATAAATACTGATATTCTTAATTCATAATAATTGAAGTTTCCCTTCTTACCCTAATACTGTACAAACAAACAAACAAAATCTTACCCTAATAATGTCTGAAGACATAATTGTGGAGTACCAAAAATTTCTTTTACGTGCAAGTTAATATCTTTCAAGGACTGGCCTCTATCCAAACGGTAAAGGTACTGAAAGGGTCTCTGAAATACAATGCTCTCGAACTCCTGCTGATCAAACAAGGCGTCACTATCTCTAAACCCTGTAAAACAACGAAAGAATATTTTTTGCAAACTATAGCGAACTCTCCTTATAAACAGACTGCACAAATACTTATGAAGACAAACATTTTAAAAAAAAATATCAAATTATAATTAAGACAAGAATCCAAATAATTTGTTCTCACTATTTAATACGATATACATTCAAAACATGTCAGCATATTTAGCCTTTCCTTTTTATCATTAATGAATGTTTCGATCAATTTTTCTTTTAAAAGTAGTGTATTTCTAACATTTACTAATATATACCCTCTGGTATTTTAGAGCCTTTGTAAATTCCAAAACTCTCTGATGGTGACCTACAAACGACGTCTGGCAGAATGTCCAAACATTGGTGCAGGCACTTGCATAACTGATTCTGAAAGAAAATAAACATTGTGTGCTGAACACAGTTTTTGGAACTTAAAAATAGAGATAATCATCACTAGATTACTAATTTTAGAATCCTGATGAAAAATATCTATTTTTCATCTATGCCAAAATATTGGAGCTTTGTGCATAATAACTTAGAATTATTCATACCTTCTTTTTATTCTGTGAAAGAATTGGTAATGACTCCACTAAGTAAAGATCAAATGGAGATTTTCTCCATATATAACCTTGGCTATTTGTTAGACATCCCAGGATAAGTAGTTGGAAAAGAAGATAGTCGACACCTTCTTCAACCTTTCAAACAAATATATATATATATATATATATATATATATATATATATATATATATATATATATATATATATATATATATATATATAAATATTTAAAACACATTTTTATATGGAAGAATACGTATACAATCAGATATAATCAATAATATATAAATAAATAATAACGAATTGTACTCCTGCTCAAAAGTCCAATGAAACAAAAAAAAACCAATTGTCAGCAGACCAAAAATAGACCCTTAAACAAGGGAAAAACAAAATGGTTTCGTTCAAAGAACACAGTTCTCATACAGTGAATCGAATCGATATATCCATAATGGAAAGAATATCAATCACTGACTTTAGCCTTCAATATTTTATCCGTGAAATCAATATGGTACTATTTCTGGATACCATGCATCTCTGTAGAAAGTATGAGACTGCCTAGCTAAATGAAGCCTCAAAAATTCTGTCCTTAACCTAGTCTATCAATATGCTTGGAATTCATCTTTTAAACATAGCAATAGACAACTTCCTCCCACACTGTGCATTATAGCAAACATGAGACCGATAATAATACTGTTTCAATTGTGCCATTCTTTTAAAAATTAAATTTCTTTCATCAACTCCGATTCTTAGCAGGTTTGAGACTGAACGGCTTTGTGATACACGCTAGATACCATTTGTTGTTAGGAATAATAGTGAAGCATGTCTGTATATATGTCAGAAATTAGAATAGTGGATTACTTCATGAGATAGGTCAATGTGAAATATCCTGGGTTCTGTTTTCATCGTTGGTGAAGTATTTTGCAAAAGAACAGACATAATTTCATCGACCTCAATCCTCTTCTCATGAATTGGTATAGTTATTGTTGTTGCACGGCCACCCCTATCCAGTTTCTTGTGGGTCAGGTTTAATTTTTCAACTAGTCTCTTCTTGTATAACGTCTTTCCGACACCTGATCTCCATGATTTTATAATACGAACAGTGCAGCTATAAGAAAAGTATAGAAAATATGAAATAATAAATCTTGTCTTTAATTAGGACAAAGAATCAAATTTTTTATCTTTAGAGAATTACCATTCAAAGTCCACAGATGCAGCTGGTACCATCGGCATTTTATTCATGTCAGCCGTCAGCTTTTCACGGATGCAAGGTAGCAAGACCTGGTGACTCATCAGTGGAAGAGGTGGTCTTCTGTGTTTGTCAAGAGCAGCAACAATACGAGAATTGTTTTCCTGCTCCGTTCCACATATTACTACTAACTTGTACTGAATTTCTAGAAGAATTTTCTTTTTGTTAATTCAAATCAATGATTAGAACAGCAAAAAATATCAATGTTTTACATTTTCCTCAAAGCAATTCGATCATGGAAACTATTTTCAACGTTTCCTTTTACTTAAAAGTAATTTATATTAAATAAGAATCTATATACCCGTACATGTATATCTAAGAAAAAAGAACAAAACGTGAAGTATACATGACTCTAACACCTACCTCTGGTAAGTGCATTTTGCATATGATAATCCAAACGTCGTTCTCCCTTTTCACTGACGTCGTAGCTAAGGTTCTCAACATTTGCCAGACAGTGTATTTTCCCACAATCGTTGTACATAGCTCTTCTCCAAAAGATCTCAATCTAAAATATATATCACAATACAAAATATACAAATGATTTTGGTTTTGAAGACTTTGTTGTAAACGTTTTTTTTTCTTCCATTGGTGACTAACCTCGTTCAAGCTTGTTTCTTGAGTGCACAAGAGAACCTCATCAGGGCATGGTAAAGGTTGTTTAGTATCCTGACAGTATATCGACAGAATTGTGTTGATCACATCGTCTGTAATATTTCCAGAAAAATTAAGTTGATGAACGATTTAGAAGCTAAATTTATTTGTTACTCTTCAGACAATTTATATTTTACCAAACATTTCAAGAGAAAAACAAGAAGACTAAAATATTTGTTTTCTTTAAATTTTGTCTCTTTTGAGAGGGAAACCGATTTTTTTTCAGATATATCTCAAACAGATGTCAGAGGTGCTATTGAAGTACGTAACTCCATCTGAAATTTGTATTCTGAAACAAACCTTGACAACACACAAGCAAGTTCGGAACTCCACTTTGAAAGCATTGAAGAAATTCTCTATCGATAATCGTTGTCCCTGTAAAAAAAAATAATTAAGCATCGATAGATAAGTTTTAGAATAACAATCAGCCAAGAATATTAATGCTGATAGACTTACCTTTTCTTGAAATATACTTCAACACAATCCCCAACTGCTCAACACTCAAATAGTCAGTAAGATTAGATGATATTGATGTTTGAAAAGCTGTCCAAAGCTGTCTTAAGTCTCTAATAAGAGGTCCTATTGCAGATTCACTGTTGAAGAATATATATCAATTACAATACATTATAAAGATTTCTCTTTTTGGGTTTTGCACTTTAGTTAGTGCAATATATATATATATATATATATATATATATATATATATATATATATATATATATATATATATATATATATATATATATATACTCACCCACTGCTAGAAAGAGTACTCAGGATTTGTTCGCTTGCAATTGATAAGGGTACCTTTGCTGTAGCGCTCTTTTTCTTCTCTTCCCTTTCAGAAAAAATGCTTCTTTCATTTTCAATGCACCAAAGTAGACCTGAAAAACATCCTCAGATATAGACCTTGGAACTATTATTATTATTATCACTTGTTAGTGAGTAATTCAGCCTATTTCTGTCATTTTTTACAACGGTTCCTTGACTAGACATTATAAAATAATCAATTTTTAGAGGAAAAATTAAAATCTAGGAGATATTAGTCAAAAGAATTTTAGAACACTAAGAACTTAAGTCTAAAAATAATTTTAGGTTTTCCAATCCTAACTCCATATCATATATATAGTTCAAAGATCAAAGATTTAATCACATTATACTACTGGTATCTTGTTCTTTTAAGCTAAAATATATGGATCAGATAAGCGTTTACCCCCATCGATGTCGTTCGGTTCAATGCCATTAGCCAATGCAGCCCTTGCCACCAATTCTTCTTGTCCAGCTTCTACCATTTCATGTATAAATTTTGCTACAATATCTTCTTCAGATATCACAACTTTTTCTTCAAGAACGAGTTCCCCCTCTCTCGTTTCTTTGTCTTCAACTTCTTCGTTCGCTTTCTGCATTGCATCGGTAAGATCGTGATAACTACAGTCATTATTGACAATAGACAGAAGAGGAATAGTAAGATTTGATATTTCTTCCCCAGCATTAAATCTTGCCAATTCTCTCTGAAGAATGACGACTTGATCTATGGTAAAATGATTAAGGTGATAATACTCATCCCTTTTCTCATCAAGATAACACAGCCACTCTTCCAAGCAGTTTTCCATAAACTTTGCAATTTCAGGCATAATTGTAATGACATCATCTTCCTCATTGCGCCTGCCTTTCAATTGCTTACATTCTTTTCCAGTTCCGAATGTAATAAATGCACATACTGCTCTACCAGGATCGCATAGGAACCTTGCCTGCCAGTTCGTAAACAAAACACATCCAGATTCCACTAGTTTAATGTAGACATTACTCAAACGCACAACTGAATCCAGAATCTGTAAAAAAGATGTTTTTCTATTACATCACAAATGTAATAAGTTTTACCCTGAAGAATGCTGAATCACACCGGAATCTTCGCGGTTTATAACGCGTAAACTGCCCCAATCCACTTTATACCGTATAAATTGGGTAGCTATTAAATTCATTCCTTATATCATTCCTTATATATATATATATATATATATATATATATATATATATATATATATATATATATATATATATATATATATATATATATATAAAACTAAAAATGACCAACGACACGAACAATAATAATTGTCAAATTGTCGGGACGACCTGTCCCTTCCTCAGGACAAAGAAAAAAGTTAAGAAGTCATCAAAACAAAGGAAATAAAGAAACAAAAACAACTAGCACTACAACTAAACTACCAAACACTAAATATTTACAGTATTATATGTTTAATTTGAAGTTTATAAACAGTTGTGAACAAAGAAATCCGGAGCGCTATGAATTGCGTGTTTATAAACTTCAAATTAAACATGTAATACTGTAAATATTTAGTGCTTGGTAGTTTAGTAGTAGTGTTAGTTGTTTTTGTTTCTTTATTTCCTTTGTTTTGATGACTTCTTAACTTTTTTCTTTGTCCTGAGGAAGGGACAGGTCGTCCCGTAAATTTGACAATTATTATTGTTCGTGTCGTTGGTCATTTTTAGTGCTTTATATAAATTTCCATCCGTGACCTACTTAGTAGATCCGACACTTAGGATATACAGTGTTGTTGGTTTTTAGTGCTTTATATATATATATATATATATATATATATATATATATATATATATATATATATATATATATATATATATATATATATATATATATATATATATATATATATATATATATATATATACATATTTATTTATATTAGGGATGTCAAAATATTTATTTTCCTTAGTCGATTATTCGATTGCATTATTCGAACGATAGTCGAATATTCGAAACATTTTCTGAAAATAAAATTTTATTTCAAACTTCACTGGTCCATGACATATTTATAACTTAAAAACCCTTTAACTTAAATCTATTAAAAAGTAACATAAGAATTAATCCAATGTAACGTTGGATAGCATGAATTTATGAAAAATTTTTTAGAAATTTTAATTCTCCAAAATTTATTATTTCCCCATCAATCGAATTAATAAATTTGTCTGTACATGCAGTCAGTTTTTATTTTAGTGAGCATTCAAAAATTGCTAGCCGATATTTTTTTAAAGCTTATTATGAAATAAATAGGGGGTGGGGGGTGGGGGTAATCTCACACTATTCACACGCCGAGTGGCTTTAAATTCTTCAATAGTTGAAATTGAGAAATTTAAGAGAAATATTCTTTTTTAATTTTGGTTGAGGCTAGTTTTTATGAAGATTTTAACAATAGGTTCAAAGAATATTCACAATTTATGTGTTTTATTTTCATAAATAATTTTTTATTTAAAAAATTAAAATGGCTATCCAGCCTTTATTAACATATTTTATTAGACATTCATATTATGCATTTATGAACAGCAAATTTTTAACCCTAAAACATCTAATCTGCAAATAAATTATTTTTTTCATTTTCTATGAAAAATAGGTAAAAAAAATCTTATTAAATAATTAAAAGCTAATATTGGCCTTTTAATGTTAAAACAACTACTTATGGGATGTCTTAAAGTTCTATGAAATAAAATCTTGGTGTGGCATTTCTCCACAACTTTTCCTTCCTAAGATTTTCTCTATATTTTCGGTAAATGTCATTCGTGTACAGTTTTTCAATGCCTGATATATTATAATCATGTATGTACATCTGAATAAAAACGAACAGCCACAAGGTCATTTTTTTCTCTTCTGATTAAAGATAAATTTAAAACATGTCTGATATAAAATCCAACCAGTTTTTCCAAAATATACAATTTTGTTACACTTTTTACAAAAAAACTTCATATACAACATTCCTTGATTTACATTTAATATAATTTTTTATCTGAAAGATGTTTCTGTTGCATGTATGAATAAATACAATGAAATACGAACATATTAAGTAGGGTCCGCCTTTTCATTACAATGTTAAGGACAGTCCAGGTGGCTAAGTTGCTGGAGCATTTGCCGGGTGTGCGAATGGATACAAGTTTATGAATCACAAATACACTTCAAAGAATATACATATATGTATATCTGTAAGACATTCAAAATACTAATGATTTTGTAAACAAAAAGGCACATTATTCATTTAAATAATGAATGTCTCCATACCATTGTGAATCTATCGACATCCTCCTTCCCCTTTTCAGCTTTTCCTGCAACAAGCATCAGTTTGCTTTGAAGCTCTTGTAGATCTTTATACTGATATTTTGGACGCAATCCTTGCCCTTGCGTTTCATCCTTGATATGAAGTTGCAGTACATCATCGACATTCTTGAAAAATAACCCCCAAAATTATTTTACTTGAGTTAATCCAATCACTAGATCAAAATGTTTTCAAAAAATAAAAATATTTCATGAAGATTAGATAATCTTTATAGAAGAATTAGCTTATTTAGACCATACCAAGGAGTATCACATCCCCATACCTCCGAAATCAAAGTAAAAGTTTTGGAATCTGTTATAAACTGAGCAAATGAAACCACTTTTCATGAATTGAGGGTGGAGCTCTAAGAAAGATATTGCAAAAACAACACAAAAGGCCCTTTAAATTGTCTTCAGAACCTAAAACTTGAGACTTATGGTTGCAAACGAGCCTTGAGAGTAAGTTTCCTGAACAAAACTAAATTTGGTACTCCTTGAGGGGAGGATAATGCCCAAATCAATCACGGTTTATAATCTACTAGATTCTTTAACTATCTCCATAATAAAGTACTAGCATTTCATATTAATAAGATCAAGCAACAATTATGTATATTCACTGTGGTCTATAGGACTTTCAATATTTTCAATATACCAGTTTATGATTAGGTGAATCCTCCTGTAAGTTTCCAACAACATAAATCCCTGCTGCATTGATTGTTTTGGCTTGTTCCATTGATGAAACCTCCACAGATCCTTGGAACTGTTTCACTCCGTCAAACCAATCAAGATTTCTCTTTGTGTCTTTCTAAATGTCAAGGTATATTCCAGTTACTATCAACATAATTTTAAGGCAGTCGTTGACCGCTATCCTTTTGTACTGACATTTTTTTTTCTTTTATCAAAATGTAATTTAGCAATTCAGAAACGCTTGTCCTTTGATTTTTTTTAAAAAACGTTTTCCCTACGGTCATATATATATATATATATATATATATATATATATATATATATATATATATATATATATATATATATATATATATATAGGAGAGAGAGAGAATGTACCATTTTTTCTGGTAAATTTGGATCTGCAGCCAGCTCTTTCCACACTTGTTTGCATCTCTCAATAAATTTAGTGTATCCGCATGACTCGCCAAGATCAAATATCAAAGCCGCATAACCTCTGGTTGCAGAATGAAGAAAATTGACTTTGTCTACTTCCATATCACCTTCTCCAGCTGTCATAGTTGCAAGATCGGCAAATACATTTAGTTCTTGCAGGTCTATAAGAAGCAATTTATAAAATGTTTTAGAAGGAGGATGACATTTTTGCATCCTTTTTGGGAATCCTTGGATCAATGCAGTTATCTATGTTCATCTCCACAGTCAAACGAATATCGATTTTTTTTTAGTGAAAGCAAAAAGTTAACGGTCACGAGGGGTTGGGCGGTGTGGGGGCGCTTAAAAATTTGTTTAATTTAAAAATGGCATTATCGTTATCAATTTTCATTTACTTTTTCAGCAAATATTTATATACTGCTTCGTATGTAGCCTCTATAAATCAAATCAAATCTTTGAATCAAATTAAATGCTGTATTTGAACAAAGTAAAATGAACGCTTTCAATAAAAAAAAAACCCCACAAATTTAAACTTTGTTTTAATTTTAATTCAAATAAGGGAAAAGTTAATAACTCTATCATCCCTTTGAGAGAATTGATGGTTCATTTAACTGAAGAAAGTATTTTGAATTTCTGAATTTTCAATTCAAGGACATTGGCAAGTCAGGGTTTTCCGGAGAAAAAAAGTTAATACACGGGTTTATTCACTTATGAAATAGTGATTGAGAGTGATCTCCCGTATAGAATCCTCTATGCGGTGAAAACCAATGAAGCGTATGTTACAGAGGTAAACAAAAGCACGTGTACTTCCTTCAGCGGGTAGAATCATCTATACAGCAAGAAAAGTAGTAATGGCTTTGTTGTACATTGTATTCAGGGGACAAAGAGTCAGAGCCAGATGGGTATTTGGTGACGTCTCATGTAAGTGAAAAATTATCGCAAGGGACTTAATAAACAAACAAACAATCGATCTTGATCCTAAGATTTTTAAACATTTTTTGTCATATATTTCTTACGTAAGACTTTGATTCTCTGTTTTGCCCCAGCTTATTTTCTGACCAAGTGGTTCTTGAGAAGTTATTTTAATGACCCTTCCAATTTTTTTACTATTTCTTAATTACTTCCCCTTGAAAAAGGGTGTGGACCTTCATTTGAACAAACTTGAATTCCCCTCTCCAAAGAATGCTATGTGGCAAGTTTGGTTGAAATTGATGCAAAGTTTGGGAACTCGAGAGAAAAAAATAAAATCATGAAAAGTTTACAACAGACAACGGAGAAATTTCGATCAGAAAAGGTTACCTACGCCTACGATCTAATAAAAGATAAATCAATATTTATTATTGTCTTTATTTACACCCTTCATTGTTCATCAGAAGAATTCTTCATTTTATAAAAATGGCTAAAGTAACAAAACATTTTCAACGAAATGTTTTTCTTAATTTAAATCTTACTTTTCATGTATGTTCGGAGCCATAGGACAACCTGCTTGCACTGAATAAGTGTTTCAATACATTCAATCTCAGCTTTCTTTATACCCCGAAGAATATCACACGTTTTCATCATACCAATATCCAACTTCTTCATTTGTATATCGTCGTTTTTTTCCTAAGTATAAAAGTGACAACATTAAAGCATTAATGCTGGTGACCGAGAATTATTGACATTGCAAGAGAAACGTATAACACAGTTCTACATGTATCACTGTACAAAATTGTTAAGAATGAGCCAATACTGATATCATACACTTTTTAAAATCATATGACTTATAATTATAATAAGGCAGTGTCAAGTATTTCTAATCTAACATGTGTAGAAATGAGGACGGGACCTTTAATTTCCCACATGATCAATAGATCTCTTTTTGCTTTGATTTGTATCTTGTTAAACGATTTCTGATGAAGGATGTGCTTCTTTTATTATGAAATCATATTAGTAAATAAAATGTTCAATTTATATCATATCTTTTTTGTCCCCCGTTTTCGTGAAAGCGAGGGGACATTAAATCTCATTCATCTGTCAGTCTGTCCATCTGTCAGTCTGTCACAAAAACTTAAACCTTGGTCATAACTTTTGAATGAGGAGATAGGGCTTTCACATTTGACATGTATATTATCTGTGACAAGACCTTTCTAAATATACTATGACTTTTGACCCCATGACCTTGACGTTTGATCTACTTTTCAAACATTTTATCTTTGCTTATAACTTTTGACTGAGACAAGATAGGACTTTCATATTTGACATGTGAATTACCTGTGACAAGGCATTTCCAAGCATTTTGACCCCTTGACCTTCAGGTTTTACTTAATTTTCAAAAATTTTAACTTTGGTGATTACTTTTGAATGACATAAGATAGGGTGTTCATATTTAACAAGTGGATTACCTGTGGCAAAATGTTTCCAACTGTGCTATGATAATTGACCCCGTGACCTTGACCTTAAGTTTGATCTTATTTTCAAACATTTCATCAGTGTTGCTAACTTTTGAAGGACCGAAGATAGGACATTCATATTTGACACATGCATTACCTGTGACAAGCATTTCCAAATGTTCTCTGATTTTTAAACCCATGAACTTGACCTTTAAGTTTGACCTAATTTTCAGAAATTTTAACACTGCGTATAACTTTTGATTAAGAGATATGTCATTTACATTTGATATGTGCATTACCTGTATCAAGAACTTTCCGATTGCATATTCTGGTTTTTGACCTCGTGATCTTGACCTTAAAGTTTAACCTACAGTCTTTTTTCAAATTAATTTTACATTTGTGATAATTTTTGAATGGGAGAAAATAAGGTTTTCATTTTCCTACATGTACATTACCTATGACAACATCTTTTAGAAAAGTATATCATTTTTAACTCCATGAAGTTGACCTAGAAGTTTGACCTACTTATAAAAAAAATTAACCTTGACCAAAACCTTTATGCCCATAAGAGACAGCTGAGGGCTTTCATATTTTTTTCACATGTACATTACTTGTGACATGACCTTTCGGATTGTATTATGATATTTGGCTTCATGACCTTGATCTTAAGTTTGATGTAAATGTAGTTTTAAAAAGCTATAATCTTTGTTAAAATTGTTATCAATTCAATAATTTATGTTTTTTTGTATGAACACAAGACACACAAACAAGAAAGTTACATGCCATAAATAATGACATCCCATCCACTAAGACACCGAAAGCGGGGGACCACAATTCTTTGAAATTGCTTGTTGAATTCTGTTCTCAATATTTAAAATTCTCGGTAATCTAAAAAACATTTAGTAACCTAAGACTTTCACAATGATACTCCTACTTGTTCTTCTGTAAGTTTAAATTGAAATAGTTTTATTCTGCTGCATCCGACTTACATATATCTTATATCGAGTCGACCTTTATCCTTTGAAATATCAAGAGCATTAGATTCCAATATCAAACAGATCTATTTATGTGGTCTTTATGTGGTATTCATGACATGGATTCAGTATGTACTCGTATGCATGCACAATGAAAAATATTTCTAGATGGCTTGTTATATATGTGTATACTGGGAAATAACAGTATTGCAAAGAAGAAACTGTCACTTACAATGAACCGGATTTCAAGAATACATGTAACATAAATGCCTATAAGCTCATATTTATCCACATTAAATATACAATTATCTAATTTGATGTTTGTTGGAGATGACAAAATAAACCTAAACCGCCAATAGTTCTACTTAGGCATGGCAATAGAACTGGGTAGGTAAAATAATGAAAAACAATGCAAATTTAATACCATTTCCACAATTCTCTCAATTGGTGAAAAATCTCCTTTCAATTTAAATTCCTCAACAAATTCCAGTATTATGATTGCCCCTTTCAGACACTGTCGCAATATTTTGTATTGTTCTATTTGATTGTATCTTTCAAGAATCCAAGAATCTGAAGAACTGTCTGAAAATAGGGAGAGTTCTTTTTTTATTGCTGCCATATCTAATTTGTCAAAATAAGTTTCAAACTCTTTAAATGTTATTTCGCCGCTTCTGAGTTGGTCTTTTAACTTCCTCCAGCTTTGATGTACGCTTTTCCAAACAGAATCGAAAACATCTTCCACAGTCAATGAATGTCCTATTTCGGATCTTCTAGCCATGCCTCTTTTAATCCACATTGTGATAAATATCGTACCCTCCGAAAGTCTGCAAATCAGTTAAACAATGTAGATGTAAATTATCATACAAATATCTAGCTATATATAAACTGGCTATATATATAAATCTAACTATATACATAAGCTTTGTATCAACTGACAATGTCAAAGAGGATCCTGCTAAGGGCTGACACAAGAAACTGACAACTCTTCTCAGTACGGAAATGTGAAGAAGTAAATGTGCATACGAGGGTTGTTAGAAAAGTTCACGGACAAGTTCTATTGTCTGCCCGCTATTTGCATGAAACCAGTAAAACTCTGCAGATTAAAAAAATATACATATTTTCTAATAAATATGCGAAGATTTGGTGTTTTCCGATGAACCCTAAAAATATAAAACTATATTACTTAGATAAAACATGCTTCTCGGAGCATGTCACTTTTTTGCGCATTGACTTTTTTTTACATTAAAAATTGCACTGTTGTAGCGCATAAAAATTTATTATAATTCACCTATCGTTACAATATTCATGAAACGTCATTTGGAGGAATTTTGAATTAAATTGGAGGAGTTATGACTGTTTTATCGCTAATGAAAGATGATCAGTGCGTAAATGCAACGTAAAAATGGCAACATCATTAAACGTCTTGGATCACCGATCTACTAAAAAATTATCTGTGCAGACAGGAAAATACCCAAAAGAGACTAAAATGTTAAAGATGCTGCTGGGAATTGCCTTCACATATTTAGGACCAAAGTGTTCAGATGGTAGTAGCTTTGTAAGAATGAATGGATTTACATTTGTGTGAGCAACTCCTGCGATACCCCAATACCCCGCTTATCGCATGGACGTTGCGTCTATTGATTTTGCATTGTTTCCATACCTTGCATAGACATTGATTTCAAGAACTCACTAATATCCGATACGCCACAAAAGACATTTAAGAAAAAAAGTAATATGTCTTCATATATATTTATTAATTTTTAGCTCAACTCAACGAAGTTGGGGGAGCTTATGTAATACCCTCGGCCTTGGCGTCGGTGTCCCAGGTTAAAGTTTTTGGAGCATTTTTCTTTTCAAGTACTTCTATGCCCTATATTAATCATAGAAGCATGGAGGATGCTTCTAGCGCGTTTCATTGTACCAGTCAAGGTTTCAGATGCTGCAATTTCAGCTAAAGAATGACCAGGTTAATGTTTTTGGAACAGGTTAAAGTTTTTCCAAGTAACTATAGGCCCTATATTGACCAAACTTGCATGGATGATACATATAAGGATGCACACACCCAGGCTTGCTTCGTATGCTGGATCTGACCTACATTTTCCGGATGAGTGACTAGGTTAAAGTTTTTGGAGCAGATCTCATTTCCAGGTAACTATGAGCCATATACTGACCCAACTTGCATGAATAATACATCTAAGGATGCACACTACTGACTTGCTTCAGATGCTGGATCTGACCTTTATTTTCCAGATGAGTGACCAGGTTAAAGTTTTTGAAGCAGATCTCATTTCCAAGTAACTTTAAGTCTTATGTTGACCAAACTTGCATAGATGATACATCTAAGGATACACACTACTGGACTTGCTTCAGATGCTGGATCTGACCCACATTTTCCGGATGAGTGATCAGGTTCAAGTTTTTGGAGCAGATCTCATTTCCAAGTAACTTTAAGGCCTATCTGAACCATACTTGCATGGATGATGCATCAAGGGACGAACACTCTATAACTTGCTTCAGATGCCGGATTTGACTTACATTTTCTGGATGAGTGACTAGTTTAAACTTTTTAGATAAGTCCATTCCCAAGTAACTGCAAGCCCTATCAGACCAAAATTGCATAAATGTTGCATCTAGGGATGCACATTACTAGATTATTGGTTTAGAGTGGGACTTTGCCTTACTTAAAGACAACATTCGTTGAGGTGAGCTCGGTAATCTCTGATTACCTATGTTTTAAGAAGAAAAAAGACATAAAAAATCTATAGAAATGAAAGATATTTAGAATTGTGAAAAAGGTTTGGAATCAGGATGACACGTCAACTTACGTCAAGTGATTGCTCCATGAATCCTATGACCGCATAGCAAAAATCATTGTAGCTTTTCAAACTTTTAGTAAATGGACCTGATTTATTTTACATACTAATAAACAATAGATAAGACTTTAATCAGGCATACGCCATTCTTCAAATTACACTATAAATTTTCCGTAAATCAATGTGTCCGCGATCTTTTCTAACAACATTCGTATGTGGAAGGCTACACTGAACAATCACTCAGATATGAGTTAGAAAAATAAATATTTAAAGATCAGACAAACATACAGACATGCATTAAAACAGAGAAACGAAACTCTTTATCACAACATTAAAAAAAAAATTGTATAATTTACTCCCGCTGTATAAAGTTTGAATTTTTTACTATGAAAACTTTTTTTAGTTATGTCACGATAAATATACAACATAACTATGCACACAGATAGATCTGTATTACATAAAAAATCATTTTTTTTTTCTTTGATGTTAATTATTCTGTACAAAATTTGAGAACATTACGGTCTGAAAACTGCTATAACGGCACAATAAAAGTGTTGATGGAGAGGACAGATAGACGGAAACAAAATCAGTCTTTCTTTCTCTTATTGTCTTTCTGTCTAAAACTTGAAATAGTTATAACAAGAAGTTGGTTTTTTTTTTTCATTATTGTGTCATGATGACATTCAGACATCTAAACAAAGTTATATAACCTGAATTAATTAGTGTCACCTTACAATAAACACCGTTTCCCGTTCTTGTTTGTTATACATGTACTGTGTCACTTCTCATAATAACGATATTTATTTTTTCGTTACTTTTTCTTCTGAGACCATTCCGTGATCAGATGGTGAAGAAGATTAGAATTTTCTTTTCTTGTTTTTTGAAATGCCGATCTCATTTCAACATTTTGTCTTACACATTCATTTTATTACACAAAATCAATAATATGAGCGTTTTTTGCCCTGCATCCATTCCTTTTGTTGCCGAGTAGTCATTACGAATCTCATCTAAAGTACAAACGGGACCTCTCTTATTTACACAAAGACACATTTATGCATGCTAATCACACTCAAGTTTTAAAAATCACTTACTTTCTAAGATTTGGTAGGCATTTGATAAGCTTCGTTGGTATGTTTTCAATCTGCAGTTCTGGCTCGTAGAGTTCAAAGTTTTCAACATCAATTTTTTTCACTGTCTTCACAACATGATTAAGCTGTTGATCATCTTTCAAAAGTGACAGCTCATCAATTGCTGATACATTTGCTGTGTAAACATAGATTCAGAGCTTAGAAAGTTTTTGTATTTCTTCAGACAATATTTTAAATTTCAATTACCATGACATCGAAAAAGAAAAAAAAGTTGTTTTTAAGCTCGACAATTCTTTTTAAAAGGAGTGTGTTATTCTAAACATACTTCAAACACAACAATTAATACCGTCAAAATGCTGGCATAATTGGGCAAAGGCACGTAGATCAGCATCCGTATTTTTTAATTTCTGAACTTCCTTTAATCTCATCAATAAAAATCCATGCATGAGATGTCTATCCATTTCGGTTGATGTTTTGAATTTCCAAATTATTGCATTTGCAGCCATAAACCGATCCTCTGCATTTCGAATCAACTCAAGGTCTGCAAGTCTAATGTTGCCACTCATCATGTCTTCTAATGACCGTTCTAAACACGCTGCTACCTCCGTTAAGTGCGTCTGACACTCGTTTGAAAGAAACCCCTTCACATTCTTTTCATCTACAAATACATTTGCTGAAATATATTTTACTTACTAGTACCAAAGACATCTTTACAATGAATATATACTCATGAGGTCTGCACAAACGAAACACAAAAAACCTCTCTGTGCTGCGTATTAAATTGGGATATTATAGCAGAAACTAAAATTTCTACTCTTCACAGTCATACTAATCAAATCTGGTAAGTGTGTTACAATACACAATCAATTATAAGACTCAACATTGATGCATTTTTTGCAAAACGTACTCTACAAAAGCCTGTAGACCGGAGAAAATTATATTAATTTATTTGCTTATGAGCTATATTCTTTGCTGACTTTCATTTCAATTACATGTATGTCTTCGTCCAACTTACTCTGCCAATAAATATCCGTAAGGTTCTCTTACTTCTTTTACTTGCCAATATTTCTCGCCAGGAACAAATTATTAAGTTTAATATTTCTGACGAATATTTCTTCATTTGAGAAAAATTTATATCGATTTCACTGATCCTGACAAAACATTAATATTGTGGGGATTACAATGTACATCAGATGACATTTAAAATACCCTGTATGAATTTTTTGAAAAATATATATATATAATAAAATGATTTTATCTGAGAATGTTAGACTCATTTTCTTGAATTATTGAATTCATTTATTGACAAAAACTTCTTTTGTTCCAGATAACTCTGAAATAAAATGTACTATTCTTTGCTTTGTTTGTCAGATATATTGGTACAACACGTCAGTACTAATATTCCAATTATATTTTAAGGTTTTCAATGTATAACGAAGAGATATTTAACAAGTTTGAATCATTTCAAAAATAAAAAAATTGTAAAATCATACGTTGAAGTATTTTTATTTGAAAACACCTTCAAAATGATACCATGATTACAAAAATCCCAATATTGATTTATTAGGTATAAAATATGGTCATCATACATTGATTACATGTATCTTAAATACCAACGTGTTATACATGTATCAATATCTTTTTAATAAAGGAGAACGTACAATACATTGTGACGAAGTTGATCATGGGAGGCCAGGAAACAGCAAAATACAACATGCTGCATTTGCCTGCCGATTTTTTCCAGTTTCTCTCAAAAAGCTCCGACATCATATCTCCATACATCTTATTCCCTGTCAAATCTTTTTTGTGACTGACCGATCCTTTTTCAACAGCCTAAATTATTAAAAAGTAAAAACAATTTATATTAGCATGGGATA